AAAATAAAAAAAAAACTTTTCAAACATTTGATATCCTGTTTAATGTATAAAATAGAAAAAAAAATTGATTTTCATGATTGGCATGATGATAATAATAATTTAAATGATTTAAAAAAAGAGATTCAATCGATCACCATGTTAATATTTTTGCTTGATTGATTGCAATAACAATGCAACTTTATTTCATTGAGTACTGGTGGTTGATTGAATAGCTAAGTGTGTATTATAATTTTTTTACAAATAATTGTCTCTATTAAAAAGTACTTACCATTAAAAGAGCGGGGCGAAGTGGTTCGTAGTTGTAAAAATCACAGATGAATTGAGCACAACCCTGCCACGTGCTCAAGTTTGCATAATGAAGCAATGTACGTCTTATTGATGTTGATACGAATTTCTGCGTCGAAAAACAAACAGTTGATACATATATTTATCAATCATCAATTGATTTTGATAATGTAAAGTGTGTGATTGTCACCAATGACTTTTCTTTCTTTCTAATATTCCGTAAATGCAAGAGGTCAATTTCACTTTCATCCACCGATTATATATATATATATATGTATATGATGTACGAATGTATCTTGTATGTAGATTATGAATACAAGCTGTGCATAGTTTAAATGTGAGATTTATTTGATTATTAAGAAAACAAAGTAATATATCTCCAATCAAGATGCAATCGTACCGTGTCATTAACGATGTTAAGCAGAAATACGAATTCATAACTCGTTATTATAAAAATTTTGTATACCAAAGCGTTTTTATTTTAACTTTGACTACTGATTTCGTTGTATATAAGACTGCGAATATTACAGTTGTAATTGTATTGTAGATTTGCGTTATCGAATACGCAGTAAGCATAAGTGTTTAGCAGAGATGGATTTTTGCGTTCATAAATTTATAGAGACTGATTGTCAACTACCCATAAAAAATGTGTAAAAACAATCGAACATTAAAAGATAGAGATGAAAAAATCACAGCAGAACCAGAGTCACTAAAATATAAACAAATCTGAAGTAAAGGATGTGTAAGCTTTCCCATCACTTTTGTATTATATAGAAGAGAGATTTTGTTTAAAAAGTGACTGTTTCTTTTTTTTTATCTCTTTCAGTTTTTTTTTTTTTCTTTTACCGTCTCGAAAAGAAATTGAAAATGATTGTATCAAATCGTTTAGAAATGGAAGATTATTATAATGTAAAAATTCATGAAAAATAAATGCGAAAACTTTTATAAAAAAAATATTGTTTGTATGTATGTAATCCTATTACCCTTTTAACGTCAACACGTTCTTAGTTTAATGAGTTAAATTTTTCATATTTTTTTTTATCAGAGAGTAGAAAACAAGTATGAACCTAAAAATGTAAAGAATTTTAATTGATCGTGGTTATAATGAATTTACAAGTTATAAAAGTAGTATTCCTAAAATGAAAAAAATTAACGACATGAGTATGACTATATAATGATGACCATTACATTGGTATTTTTAGTTATTATCGTAAATGTCAATGTATTATTAGCTTTCAATTTTTTTAATAGTATACCAGATTCTTGAAATAAAAAATTAAAAAATTTAATTTCTGTAAATAGGTGAAGCATAATTTTTTGAAATCTAAATGTTGCTATAAAATTTAGTGCAATATCGAGTAAAAGTATCTTGGCTCCAGTTGGTGATCTTTTTAAGTAGGTGAAACTAATTAATAAGCTCACCAGAGCAGTCAACAATTTATCTTGTAATCCAAATAATCATCAAACAGTACACAGTTTGTAGTACGTTTGTTTGAAATCAAAAGAGATATGCATACTCCGGTTTCAGACTGGTGCCGCCACCTCGTATTTAAGCGAGAAATATAGATTGGTAAGTCTCTGCAGGTACATAGCGACACGTTTATACCGTCTGCCAACAAGTGAAAATACGTTCTCTCAGAGAATTCCAAAAGTGCAGTTTTACATGAACAGGGAGGAAAAATTTATGAAACATTTTAATTTTCAACCACTTTTTTGCTTTTTTATTACGCATTCAGGAATTATAAGCATACATTTTGGATAAAAAATTTCAAATGAGAAATTTCTAAATTAAAAAAAAATTCGTTAATGTTCGGATTTTTTATGCTATGTGACCAATGAGCCATTAGGTTCGTTCAAGCCCCTTTTGGTTCGGTTCGGTTCTCTTAACGAAATATACCTATATATACAGAACCAGTTATGTTTGGTTCCCTATGTATTATAGGTATATTTTGTTAAGAGAACCGAACCGAACCAAAAGGGGCTTGAACAAATCTAAAGATGACATTTTTAATAACCAAAGCTAAATAAAGTTTCATCTTTCATCAAGTACTAGAAAAAAACTAAAAGATTTTAATTTTTACTTTTGCAACGATGTTACATTTTTTTCCTATACTAAACCATTGAGATAGTTAATTAACCGTTTTTCCGGGTTTTCGTAATCAATACGTCCAAACATACTACCGAAAAACATTAAAACTCTAGCCACGAGAACTTCATTCGCGATTTACGCGTAACCTTTGCCAGGACAGTGCAAAATATTTTTGCCAAATTCCCCAACTTTACCGATTTATTCGTTTATCATTTCTCTGCCTCGATATAGGTACGAAAGAGAAAGTAAACTAGCCAACTAAGCTAAAAAAAGTTCGAGATCCGATTTAGCCTAACGGGATCAGCAAACTAAACCGAAAAATGCATTGAAAATCGCACGAGAGTACCTACTTGAAATTTCGATTCGAACGTATACGCTTTCAACAATAAAACCAGCTCACCTGGACACCGCACTCATTGGCGCATGTTAACAGTAAAGGCTTGCGGTGCTTGTATAGCTCTCGGTACTGCCTGCGGAAGTTCTCGGCGTACCACAGCAGCGTTTTCTCAACAGGACTGACTGCGGAGTAGCTGCTCGGCAATTGTTTCAGGTACTCGTCGTCGACCAGCCGGACGGGCTTCTCCGGCTGACTCAGCCTCACCAGTCCAAGCTTACGACGCGTAAGCTCGAGCTTCTCAGGATTGATCTCGTCTGTACCAGCACCAACCTCGTCGGCTTCATCCTCCGTAACGCGATCGGCGAATTCTTCGAACTTTCGCAGCTCGGCTTCTTCGTCGGAGATTAATGACTGATGAACTGCTTCATCCGACCCGAACACGCTTTCAAACTTCTCGTCTTCCATGACGATACTTGGGGAACGCGAAACCTCACCTGGACTTTACGTTACGATACGCGATTGAAAGCCGACAAAAAAGCCGGATGGGCGAAAATTCTATCGCCATGGAAGCGCGCGCGCGACCGGTTGAATTTGATCGATAAAAGCCCGTTGACAAACACTTGCCGCCATCTTGTTTGTGTACGAAAAATAAATATCGTGGAACTACGTTATCAACGGATGTTCTACGTTTTACCAATTGTCAGTAATTTGCAAAAATTTGACAACTGTAGAGGTTATTAATTAATTTTCATGATTAGTTGTAAATAAATGTAGAAAAAAACGTATTAATTGAAAAAATCACTTTAATTACATATCGTTTAACTTGTATAAAACATGTTTGTTAGAACAAAATACAAACAAGCGGTTATTATTTGTTTTTCTTGCGTATCGAGTTTTTATGAATATATAAGTGTGTGTATTCCGTATAAGTATACCGCTCATTCGTATGTATAATCTAACATTCATTCTTAAATCCGAATATAACAAACATTTTTCTCGCTTTTTAACGCACGTAATAATCGAACGAAGCAGACACGTTCGCACGACTCTGATACATTCAACTCAACCATTCTCGTTTATTTGTTCAGACTCACGAGTCTCGTTGAGCTCTCCGACAACTGTTCCAATTTTTTGAGACCAAAAAAAAAAAAAAAAAAGATTTCTATTTTTATGTACCGTTAGCAATAATATAATAGAGATAAATTTTTTTTTTCGTTACGTCTACAGAAGAGCGACGACGCATTAATTTTTTCTCTACGCAAGTACATGTATACGTGTGTGTATTGAAAAATGGTCGTAATGGATGAATTTAAGTATAGCAGAAAAGACGTTTTAATTGAATTACGGAAAGAAGTTGTGACCAAGTCGGAAGAGTAATCGGAGAAAATCACAAAAATTGACTCAACTATTATTTGCGCGATAGTTGCCTTAGCACGGAATCCCAGGGGAAGGGCGTCCGTGAAAAAAAAATCGACGTTTTCTCTTAGTGAGTTTTTAAGTTGCTTACGTCCAGCTCAGTTTGTAGCCTAGTACGCTTTGATTAGTCGGAATTCGCATTGAATGAAAACTTATAGCCGATTTCGATTTGAATTCAATTCAGTATTCGGTTTGTCGCACCTCTGTTGTAAAAAAATTTCGTTTTATGGCATATGTACACGTTTAGTTAGAATCCATCCTCCACTTTTGGACGGCCTCGCGTCTAGCGTCTGGCACCAGTTGAGATCTCATACCGCCAAGAACGTTGTTGGTCGCCTCGGTCGCTATAATGAATGGCGCCACGACCGTTGGTGGTATCTGACGTACAACAGCACCCACGGCACCAGTGACACCCTTTTGTTCGTGCTCCTCACTCGCCACTCTTACTAGTTGGGTAGCCGTCTCATTGATTCCCTGTTAAACACCAAATGACAAACGTGTAAGGCTCGGTCGTGACAGCTAGTAAAAGCTAATGGAGCAAAACAGTTAAAACAACTCACCTCTTTGACAAGCATATAGGCATTAGTCATACCCTCTCGAATGTCAAGAGGCTGGTTATAGCGTTTCTTGCGACCTTTACGGCCTTTCGTGGGACGTCTTACGCTCGGACCTGGACTGACCATGTCATATGCTGTTTCAGCTGTACTTTGTATGGCAAGGACAAGTCGCGAGGTCAGCTCCAATGCTGCCATTGCCGTCGATGTAGTGAAACTATTGGCACCACGCTGAAGTCCTCGAACTATTCTGCCGTCCTTCTGGTACTGCTCGATTGGAAGCCAAAACAGATCCCGTATTCCTTGGACTATGAAAAAATTTTATTTGATTTAAGAAATCCCCCAATTACCAATGCTTATCAAAACTGGGGAATCCAAAGTACGTACACAGTTGAACAAGGGAGTGCATAGGGCCAACTCCACCCAACAGACTGGGGAGCTGATTTTTCTTGATGTCTTGCAGCCACTCCGAAAATATAAAGGCAATCAATTTTTCGAAACCCAATAAACCGTGTCGATGCATCAATTTCTTCAGTCTTAACTCGGAACAATTCAACTGAGTCAGTCCCATTATCAAACCGGCCAATGGTCCGTGTGTGAGATCGATACGATTTCTTCCATGGTAATCTAATCGTACTAAAACTTCCGGCGCAAACGTCACACTTCTTTAAAAGATAAAAAAAAAAGATATATTCAAAACATGAATTTAGCGAGCAAAGAAACTGATTAAAAAAATATTTGTCTAAAATAAAACTTCACCTGAAATACACGGGTTGACTGAGATCTTGTGTCTCCGTCATTATTTTCGCGCTTGGCTTCGATTCCTTGATAGTTAGCTCATCCTCCAACAAAATCATCAGGTTTTGATCTATGTTGGCATTGTTTTGCACGTCTACAGTGTCATTTGCATTAACATCGTCTTCTGCTACGCACATGACTGGATGATGCGTTGGCGTGCCCTGCTTTGAGCCAGACAGTGATGACATGCTACTCGTCAGCGACGTACTGTCGATGTCCTGCTTAGCGCAACTACCAAGCTCGCTAAAGAACGAAATAAGAAACAGCAAACTGTCCTGGTCGATGTTCAGCCGCACAGGCAGTAGGCTGATTTTCAGGCTACACTCTTGAGACGCTATCTGAGGATCAGGACGCACGTGCAAGGCTCTCACGGAAAACATGTTTGCGTGAGTTTGCTTGGGTAAAGCATCGCTGCTGTACTGGTAGAGGAATTTGTTGATCTGCGACGTAGCCAATCTGTCACGCATCTCGATGTTACTGATCAGCAGAACTTGGCGCGAGGCTTCCTTCGTGTTGTCTGGATATACATCGTGTTGAAAGCGCACCTTATCCAACTGCAGCTCCATCAGCACATTAAGATTGCGCCCCGGTCCGCCTTGTGTCTTCCAATCTGAGCAAGGATCTTGGTAACGCGCTCGCGGTGAGCTGGGCACACTGCCAAAGTGAACTTTATTGGGAGATGCTTTACTAAAAGTCACTTCATCCAAAGCTGAGTGACTTCTATTTTCCTGATGATACGTGTAATTGTCGTAAATGGTAATGTGCTTCTTAAAGGGCATCAGCTGCTGTGGCTCACCAAAGTCTTTGCCGCCGTACATGTGCCAGACCAACGTCATTTCACACAGCGTGTATTTGAGCACCGGCGCTGGAAAATTCTTGGGCGCCTTCAGCATATCAACCTTCCCGATTGGCATTGGAAAATGATTGTCCACGATACGTAGAGACTCGTTACACAGCCATCTGACTTCCGGCAAGCCTGTGCGCGGAAGTATACCAACTCCAGCTTCCTCGCCCAAAATGCAAAAATCGTCGTCAGGATCATCGTATTCGATTATATGATCGGCGACAGCATTTTCACTTTCGGCCGCACTTGTATTTTCGTTGGCATTTTTGGACGCTGTTGGTTTCGACTCGTCCGGGAAGAAGAACACTTTCATCTGCTTTTCTTTCTCTCGCGCTCTCGATGCTATAGCTGCTATCTCGGCTAAAATGAAATGAAATTAAAATTTGATTGTACGCACGTACGTTGAAAACAATAAGAAAATTTTATTCTCATGCTTATAAACAATTACTTTTATCAGTGTCTTCCATAGCATCTTCGACCAAACTGTTGACGCGTTCAGCTTGGCTTTTACTGAGATAATTCACCGGGTCATCGCCAAGCAAGCTCTCTCCGTCCTCAGAACCCGGGACAGCTATACTCTCGGTACTGCCACAATTTGCCGGGGCAAGATCACCATCACTGGCAAAGTAAGTGAGCAGCTGCGTAAGTGCTTTACAAGAATCCGAGCAGGTGCGCAAGTGAAGTACATTGTTGCTCGCACGCAGATCTATTCTCGGTGCACCGCCGCACATCTTCTCGTTTAAGCGCAGCGACAGCTCGAACAGACCAAAATCCATGACGCACACGTAGTCGTTTCGTAAATCCACGTACGTGCTCAATTTATCCGAAATAAACAGGGCTACGTTCTCGGAAATGAAGCGTAAAGTCGATGTGTTGGTCTGCGCGGCGATGTTACTCGAAATTCCGAAGCTTTCGAGCGTTATCATCGAACGCAAGGGTAAATTTATTGGGCTGTAAAATGAATTGTTATTACCATCGTCTTTTAAATTTCGACATTCTAAGCGTAAAATTAAAAATTCAATGTGTTGAACATTTACCAATAATCTATAGCGCTATCCCAAAAATGAACATGTAGTTCAGTCAAAACTCCAGGTGGAATGTACCCCAGAACTGGATGATCTTTGACATCCAGACAATCAATCATTTGTGAGTACCAGGAGTTTTGGGTAGCACACACTTTATGCTTTAAGGTTGCATTGTTTAAACCAACGGCCACTCTAAAAGTCTTTAAGTTTGAAAGATTAATGAAAATGTAAAGAAATTTTAAACGTATCTTTTGGAAAAGAAAAAAGAAAAAAGGAAAATTACTTTAATTCGTTGAGTTTCTTGGGCAGATTGTATTCGAACGGCAACAAATAACATGTCTTTATCCATAGCTTCCATCCTAATATTAGCACCAGATTCACTTCTGTATATCGTACGCTGACAATGCTTTGGTATAATGCTGTTGATAGATCGTAAAGGAGGAGTCTGCGAATGCATGGTAGTTATGCCGCAATGATGCAGCAATACCTCTTTAGACATGACGCACACGTATCCTAAATTCTCATCGCCTTTGTAACTGGTAACAGAGAATATGGTCATTTCATCGAGTCTCAAAACGATTTCACCGTGTTGTCCAGGTATGACTCTGTGCGAAGAATCTCTGACTGGAGTGTACATAGATAGTAGACCCTGATTTATGTTCAACAGTACACAAATTTTGCTTTGACCGTTTTTAAAAACACGATTTTGTTTGTCACGGTTGTTAGCTTTGTCTGTGGTCGAGTGAAATATTCCTTCTTCATCCGAGTCAGAGTCAGAACCATATCCTATTCCACTTTTGCACATGCTAAACCTGAAATTTATCATCAAAATGATTTCTATATATAAAAAAGTTTATGGTAATAAAAAAAAACTCAATTTACTTGGGTATCACGGATTCCTGCAACAAGGTTGATGCCAAATCTAGACCGATGTTCGTGTCTGTGTGAGTCGTGTGTTTAGACTTTGGTGCAGATGGTTTCCAAAGCAGCAAATCTGTGTTGAATCTATTGTATATTAATTCGTACAGATGTTTCGACGGAATCTGAACAGAAGCACATGGTAATCCGATTTCCAAACGAATTCTTGAACTCCTGGTCCCCTCCTCAATAAACTCATTCATTTCTGCCTTGTTCCCAGGAGTGATCACTTCCTCACCTTCCCTGAAATGAAAGGCAAAAGTAAATTGGTAAGACCTAATGAATACTTTTTTTTTTTTTTTTTTTTTTACCGTAAAAAATAAATATTCAATGGAAATAACAAACCTTACTTCCGCACCATCTTTTTTTTCATATGTGCGTTTAGAGTGTGGTGTATCAGACTCGTGGATGATTTTTTTCGAACTGAATGGCGATGGCTGGTACTTTAGCTGATGTTCCATCGAGTCTTCCATGCTTTCAGGTTCACCTTCCGAACTGTCCTCGAGTGGTGCACCATACTGTTGAGGGAACAACGTAACGACGAGTCGTGGCCAGCACATATCCTCCGGCTCGTTGTGCATTGAATCATCGACGCGGCACTGGTCCGACGATACCTTACCGATCTCCAGTGGTATGTCTGAATCTGCCTCTGTGTAAGTGAGCAACATATGCCTGCACTGGACTTCGTGTCGTGATAGATAAAACGCGTTGCTTTCGAATGACGTGTGAAGCTTGGCATCTGTGAGATTAAGAGTTACATAGTCTGGACGAACTTCGCGTTTCCACCAGGGGGTACGATTTATATCGTGGAGAGGCCGAAGATCGGGTATAGGAAATCTATTAGAGTAAAAAAATTTCAATAGACAGTTTTAATAAAAGTTTAAGAGAATGAAGAAAAAATCATTGTTTGAGATCAAAGTAGGACTTACCGAAGTTTTATTGCACATTTTGGAGTTGAAACTTTAATATCTACATGTGAATCTGGCAGTGATGGACCTTCGACCGCTTGCTTAAACAAAGTATGCTGGTTCTAAAAATCAAACAAATAATCACATTCAAACGTATACTTAAATAAAAATTTGTAATATTTTTACATTGCATTGTGTAAAACTTGCCATGTTTTCTTTAGCTGCAACTGTAGCTGGACTAGATACACAAATAGGACTCGGGTTCAAAAGGGCAGATATTCTATCAACTATTGTTATATCAAACTCGCCTTGACATGGCGCCAGCTCAATACTAAAATCAAATGAAAATGATATTTAGATATAACGTTCTATGAGTATGATCTGTATCAAAAAATCTAAAATCTGCTTACTCAAACAACGTGCGAGGTTGTATGTATCTTGTCATTTGACCACGTCTCACAGCCTTCTGAGTATATTTAAATGACATCTTCAAGTCCATTTTGTTTGAGAAACCTGCGTTATTCTCCGCGTTATCTTTAATAAATGTAAGCAGCTCTACAAACGTTGATCCTTGACTACTTATTTTATCAAACAAACATTCGAGAATCCCTAAGCTAGCTAATGTTAAGTTGCCAGATAAATAACAGCCATGCATAGTTTTTTCCTCGCTACCGTTGATTACTAAAGGAGCTCCCAAAAATCTGGATAAAGAAATAAAAAATCGAGACTTATAAAAGAGTTCTAAACAAATTAAATTAAAGAAATAAAACCATACCTCAAATGACTAAGTTGACAAATATCTGAAAACAACTGCGAGATCTTTTCAAAGTCCTTGTTACCGTAAACGTTACTCGCAAGCGCGCCGAGCTTGTTGAAGAACTCTTCAGCCGTACTTTTCATCACATTTATGCTCGTCTTGGAAAGTCCACCATCAACACCCTCGATAAGTATCTCTTCGTGCAACAGCACCAAAGCGACCGATGCGATGCGTAAATTGAATTGTGACGTCTCGACCGATGGATCTACGTCGATGCTGTTTCGATACTTGTGATGCTTGCCTCCACCGACTGAACTCTTGGAGCTTACACTGTTAGCTGTGAAGCTACCGTCCATACTCGCATTTACATTGCTGTTGATCGAGTTGGTCATTGAACCGCTACTTCCGATGTGATGCAATCGCACCATTGGCAAGAATTCATCCTCATTGTCCGAATCCGCTGGATTGCTCGACCAGCCTTGATTGTTACGCAAATCCTAAATTTACATTTTTATTTTTATTATTGCTATAAGCATAAGCCTAATGTGGATCAAGTGTTTTTTACGTGTTGAAAAAATAAAAATAAAAAAAATAATGATAATAAAAGATAAATTTATGCTACTGCTAAAAAAAAAAAAAAATGTAAATTAAAAGAAATTCACCATCGTGCGCAGCCCTTGCATAGGATTGATCTGACTAAGAAGCTCACGTTCAACTCGGTTGAAATCGCTATGAACCATGGGCTTTTCGGCACAAACGGTTCTTGGCATAACACTGGTCGTTTCATTATCATCTGGTGACGCGAGACCGTTCAACAACTCGTACAAAACGTGAGCTTGCCGTGGACTCAGAAACATTATAAGAGAACCCAAAGTTACCGTTAACTCTACCTGAAAGTTATCAAGTAATTTAAATTAAGGGATTTGTTTTCGAATTATTTGTGTAACCGGTAGTAGCACACTCACTTTAGATCCCGCGATACTGGAATCTTGTTTTAACCGCAAGCGAATTTCCTGAGATCCAGATAATTTTGCACACATAATGGGATTGAATTTATCATCGGTTTCAATATACGTACTTCTTCTGGGTGGTATTTGCATATTTTGCGTTGGAGATATTTGCGCGGACGAATAATGGCCATCTGAATCCTAAAGCGAAAAATTCAAAACGTCATTAAAAACAAAATGAATGTGATTCTGATGAAGACATTAAGTTATTCAGACATGAAAGGTGATTAATACATTTGAGTCGGGAGACGATTCTCTGCTATCCGATATTCGACGAGAAGTAGTTCTGCATTGTGACGGGAACTCATCGAGATGAAAAGTTACACCTTCGAGGTAAAAACGTTTGGTAGAAAAAGCTGACACAAGAAATCCTTTGTTCGGTTGGTCGGGATCCGTGGTTTCGGGTGACGGATCGGAGCTCGCCTCGTCAGAATAATCCAGAGTCTCAATCCGAATTTCTATGGCTACTCCCGTCTGTGAATCCAGTGGCACATGCTCCAAGCGTATCACGACGTTCTTAAATCGCACTTTTATTTTGGAAAATACTAAAAAGATGGTCAAGTTTGTAAATTATCATCAATTATTATTATACTCACTGTTTAACATTGCAATTCATAAAATTTACCCGAGTCTATAGTGTTAGCACACAATTCAATTCCTTCTATGGGTTGATTGTTACTTGCATTGTCTTCCTGTTTCAAGCATTCTGCAGCTAATTGCATGCTGGAAGTCATGGAATTCATCATAGACTCTAGTACAGAGCTATCTGGCTTAAGTCTCGGTTTAGGCTTTAAAACTAGCTTCAATCCGGTGATTTCAATATAGGTACTCTCGGTAAGCAATCGTGTCCAGGGTATATTGGCCACGATTTTATCGGCACTACCGGATATGAGGTCCACTGGCAGATTATATTTTTCTGACATTTCATTGAAAGCCTGTAATTTATAATAACATGTAAGATTTTTTTTTTCAATTTTACAAAATAACAAGATGGTTGAATGTTTAAATGAGTTTGCTTGATCCAAACCAAGCGGAAAATTTCAAATGTGCGCATCTGGATGAATCGATCTTTAAAACATAAGACTGATCAAAGTAATGATGATTATTACACTATAATTTTCTTATCTGACGATTGCATTAGAGTCTTTGTTTATTTATTGCTAATTTATGATTGGATGACAGCAATGACAGTTACGGGGAAAAAACAATTTCGAGCAGATAAAACTTACTCACTGGTAAATGTACTTGTGAAAACTCTATTATAGTGTTAAAAAAAAAAAATAAAAAAAAAAAAAAAGAAGGAAAGAAAATATATCCAGAAAAAGTGGTTTTAACAATGATTGGACAAACAATTGCAACTAAAGCAGTGTATCATCAATTGAAAAAAGAAAAAGGAAGGTAAAAAAGTTGACATGAGCTATATAAAGTATGAAATAACTTTGTATAGATTTGCATGTGAGATTAGCTTGAGCGAATCATAAGTGCCATATCATGAGTGCATAGACGCCACAGAAGAAGACATGGACATGCAAAAACAAAACGAAAGAAAGAAAGAAAGATAGGAAGCGAAAGAGAGAGAGAGAGAGAGAGAGAGAAAGAGCAAAAGAACGGGGTCTTGGTAAAGACAAAGAAACGACAGCAGGTAGGTACAATTGAAAAGAAAAGAAAGGTGCCCTCACGGCTCACCTGTACGTCGAGACGGACGTTACCCACGTCGATGTTGCCATGGTAGAGATTAATGGACAGCTTGTTGATGTCAAGATCATCCTCAAGGAACTGTCCGCAGTAGCGTTTGATCAGGTAGGTGCAAATGAGCTTCTTGCCTTGCTCGTGCCATTGCAACGGCAGTATGTTTAATTTAAACATCTCACCCGCTAAGATGCATTGGTTGTGCTTGAGTATAGACCAGCACGCGTTGTTTCCGTAGATGGGTAAATCGACCCGAGAACTGATCCCAAACAACACAGCGCGTCGTAGTCATCCAGGCTTCCAGCCTGAGTCTCTGTCGTGTACCTACTCCTCTGTACTCTCTATTATTGTGTCAAAACAACGGCCCAGACCGCCCAGCAGCGCGCAGCTGCATCAGCTACGTACGACTACGTCGTAATATATATACCTATACTTTAAGTTGAAGTAACACAAGAGAACTGAGAAGAAGAGAGAACGCGCACACGGGTGGACGTTTAACACTTTAACAACCTGCAACAATAAATTGAATCAAGAACGAGTGCGATAGAGATGGACGAAGCCAGCATGCACATAGGTATATACTTAAGTATGGAAGTACAACAAAACTTGAAATGATGCTCCATTAACAGCAGCTGAGCTGAGACGAGAAACAATTCATTTAAGCTGAGCAAAGTTCTGAGAAACTGTTGGTAATGTAATAATGAAAAACAGAAGAGTGAGTGATTACTTGTGAGGCTCAACACAAAACGTACTGACGCGTTGTAGCTATTGTCAATACTGTCATGAGCTGTGACTCTGTGAGTCATGAACGTTTGAACCAAAGTGCCAGAAGAAATCAACACAATTTTGTGTTTTGGTTTGGTTGCTGTTATTTGGACGGGCCCAATAATTTGTTTGACTACTGTAGCAGCACGTGTGTCGATCTGTAACTACTAACATGAAAACAGATCAACAGCTGAGTCATATACACTCCAGCAGCTCCTTTATTTATCTTCTTGATTCTCCTTTCTATTTTACGTTCTCTCTTTCTGTCTCGTATGTCTACTCTACTGTAACTCAACTGTACTCCTTACTCTCTCTCGTGTTTTGTTTTTTTTCCCTTTCCATCTTCAGTTTTATCTTTCTCTCTCCTCCAGTGTTTTTATATAAGTTTTTATACAAATTACGACGTTTCTGGTTTTTGCCCTGTTCTTTATGTTATGGATGGCCTTGGGTCCTTTGTCCTTGGGCTGAGACAAATATATATATCATATCTTCATAGACAAAAGTAATGATAGACATTTGAAAAATTAAGAGTTTTTAAATCACTATGAATCACTACTTAATTTCATAGCTCTATGATCTAGGCACCCGAAATCACTACTTCATTGTTTTGAAGACAATCTGTTCTGTGGAATTGATTGAAATCAGCTGATACATATCCCGCGTGTAGTTAAGATATATATTTGTATAGGTATGATTGTGACAAAACCAATACTTACAAGGCTCTAAAACAATCTTGTGGTTGGTCGAAACCAGCTAGTCGAAACTTTTTGATTCGGCTGTCTCCCAGTGAGTTGTTGCGTGTTTTGGTCAACATTATTTACTACAATCGAACACACACTCTCGATTAATTTATTCGTAAGCAAAGATTGCTCAAAATTGATAAACAAACGAGCGGTGAGTTTTTTATTTAAGTACTTTTCGGTAAACAAGTTATCACGAAATTTCAATTTTTTAATGATCCCATATCACAATCATAATTTTGGGACGCAATATTTAATTTGCATTTCAGTAAAATTGTTTTACATAATTTTAATGATACATATATTACAAATCGACAGCTTGGTCAAAGAAAGCGCCTTAACGCAAAATTGTTTTCAAGGAATCGCTAACTCAGAATTATTCAGGAATTTATTCCATAAGTTTTGTAGTGATAGCTTTGTCTATTGTATTTTATTAGAGAGAAAAGGCACAAGCTATTAATCATCACGTAATTATCCGAACGAGCAGTTATTTGTACCAAAAAAAATGACCAAAACACACATATGCTGAAATTAAATTCACCGTAAAATGATACACGCAAATCTTATTAACAAACTGCTCTTTCGGATGAGGTTTGTTTTCGTTTTTACGCGACAACAGTGCTGCCACTCCAAAATTTCAGGGTTTCCTTGAAGGCAACAGCAACATTTTGAGTTATCTTGTTTTTTGACGGCAATTCTAAGTTAGCGCTTTCTTGAAGGCAATATTTTGAGTTTGCGCTTTTTTTAACCAAGGTACACAAGGCTTCGAAGTCAGTCACTTTACTTGAGCTCTAAATTTTTGTGCGCAATATTTTCTCATTGCAATGCCTATCTGCACTAAAAATGCTTATAATTAATTCTTTAAAAAAAGAAAAAAAATGTGTCTCTACTCGTAAGACGGGAAATAAGACGTACGAAAAATGTTGAGCAAGTTTTATTGCGATTTGCGCAATGACAAAAGACGAGTTCTTTTTTTTTTTTTCACTGCAAGTACTGCAATAAGTATAGGCGGAAAAAAGAAAACAAGTCAACACTCAATACCTCAACAGTGTGGATATGATCAGCGCCAGTGTAAGGAAAAGTCCACGCAGGGTGCCAGGGTGACAACTGCACAGTGTGTCTAATGACGTTTCGTTCATTGGTTAATTTGTATCGACGCAACAAAAGTTTGCACATATAATTGTATCCGTTGAGATTTTTATTGGTAACTTGCGATAGAATACGCGACAGTGGTTAAAATATTTTTTTTTTTTTTTTTAGAAGAAGAATAAGAAGAATTGTTAAACGTACAACGGAGAGATCTTCTTAACCTCGTAAGGTGACGCGATATATTTTGGATCAGATCGTTTGACAGTTCATACGGTTCGGAGTATCATCCGACAATGGCATTCACAAATATTTTATTGTTGAGTCAAGTGGCAGGATACATAGTTGCTCTTATTCTTTCGTTGTGCATTATTGTGCCCATGAGTCTGCACGAAGATGAATTCAGGTAAAAGATGCTGCCAGCCTCCTACTGTTAACAATGTTATTGTTACCTTCTTTAGTTAACAATGATTTTAATTGAGTTGTCGGCAAACCAAGAATCAGATATTTATTAAATGTTGTTACTTCTAGGGGACACTGTCTGCTATTTTCTACTGGCAATTGGAGAGAGAACGATGGGCAGTTTGTGCCCGACTGGTCCTACAAAATATATTGCAACTACACCATTATGGTTGGGTTGATAATTCTTTTTGTTACAGCTATACAAATCTACAGGATGTCTATGCTCATGTACAAAGGAGAGGACAGTTCATTCCTATCCGCTTTCATAGATGTTGTTACATCAATTTTTATCACGATTCTTACTTTAATTGCTGCGGTAATTATCACTTTAGGCTTTATGACATGGTGTCAATGCATGACCAAAAGATTTCCATCTTGCGAACTGGCAGCAGGTAACGACATCGACAAAGCTGATGATATAAATACAACTGGGTTCCACATAGAGTTAGGTGTTGCGCAGTTTGGATCTTGGAGTAGCTTATCTATTTGGGTGGGTCTTTCTGTATTTGCAACATTAAAATTGCTAAGTTATCATCAGATTGAAAACATGAAGGTTTCCATGTACAGAGAAAGGCAGAGATTGATCGAGGCTGCTAGCAGTGGTCAGCCAGATATTTAAAAAAAAAAAAATCAAGTCTATCTGTTTGTTTTGTACAAAGTATTATTACTATTTGAAAGCGTGATCCTAATGTTATTTGTTGCTTAGAGAATTATTTTATCCCATTAACTTTAATCATAGCTTTAATCGTGGTACTGCATGAAACTGTTAATATACCTCATACATATCACAATGACGCAAATCAAATCAATGCTTCATCATGTAAAAATATGTTACATTTAGATTATTGAATGAAAAGGAAAGGAGTATAAAAAGAGAAAATAGTGATGAATTACAGCAAATTATAAAAAGAATGTTTTATTTTAAAAGTTATACAAAATAATATCTATTTGTAAATAACACAGAGGAATTTGTCGAAATTACCTGATGTACGTTACACGTGTAATCTAATCGTTAAAAAAAATTTGTATATTTTACATAGAGTTAAGTATATTGTACAAAAACTTCGTCAAGCTTAATAAAATCGCTTAAGCGATAATATTTAGCACAAAATTAATTGATCTTCAGCAGAATAACTTTACAGACGCCTTGGTTGTTGCGTCGACTGCCTTTAGGACAGGACTTCCTGGGCGCATCAATAATCACGTGAGGCCCGATGCTCGTATCAAGACACTGGAGCTGGAACGTTGTCTCGTTAACACCCAGCGCACCACCTTTGCAAGGTCCTTCTTTCATACCTAATGGGTAGCATCCATCTTCAAAGGGTACAATGCCATCCATAACACAAGGGTTTTCAACACAACTGGGTAGCGACTCATTTAGCGGCATGTATACGTAGTGACTATCGGGACAGGGTCCACGACGAAAGGCTTCGTGACAGCTGTCGTTAAGCGGAAAATAAATGTAAAGGGGCTTGCAGTCACATCGTCCATCATAGAGCAGCATGTGCTCCGCGCACTTGGATGATTCAGTTGGTTTGGGCTCGGTTGTCTGTAAATTAAAGATATTGTATTATGAGTTTGCTGTGATTGTTTGGTACGAGTCTAAAAACATTTTCAATTGTTTTTGAGAGAATCGTAAGTTTATCATTTTTTGTATGTAAGAGTGTTTTTTTGGAATGTTTGTAAGCAATGTGTATAAATACTGTGAATAATATAGTGTATGATATGGGTGTGAAGTGTGGATAGAGTGAATTATTTGGAAATTTTTTTAACTTGTGTATAATTAATAAAGATATCCATTGATTATTCGAATCTTTTTGTAACTTCTATAATTAACAAAGATATTAAATAAAACAGAAAATTCTTATTATGTTAATTGTAAGAAATTTTGTTTCCCTTTCTGCTATTTAACTATAAAAGACTTTTAAATAATACTTTATGCCGGTTAAGTATTACGTTTTCAACAATTTTTATGACGAAAATTAATCAAATGTCTCTATTTTAAAAAACAAACTGTTTTCTAATGTAGATATTTTCGGAGTTAGAAAAATAATGCATTCATTATATTATTAAATACTTGGGGTAGCACACGTTTTAATGGCAACTGTACTTTTTTTAAATTTATTATCGTATACGTATTTAATGTATCGTTAAATTTTTTTCAAAATCAACGAAATTATTTGAAATCATTTTATTTTCAATTTATTAAAATTAGAAGTTAAGAAATCTTTTTTAGTCAGAAAATTTTATTAAAAAATATAATTAAACAATACAGCCCCAAAAATTTTTTTTGTTTCTGTAGACTATAGACTGCTCATCTTTTATGTATTTTAGGTCTGTAGATTTGAATGTTTAGTTAAAACTAACGAGTCAAGTCTAATCGTTTTTATGTTTTATTTTAATTTTATTTTTTTTATTACTAAAGCCGCGGAAAAATCAAGCTAAATTTCATTATACTAGACGTTACCTAAGCAGATCTCAATGTTAACTCTCTTTAGGCTGCCGAAATAAAAAATGTTCAAAGGGCTACGTAATCGTCAAAAAAACTTTGCAATCGGTTGCAATCGATGGTCACGTATTTTATATTTGTCTATAAGTAGATATACAAATCGTTTGATATTTCATTGTAAATAAAAAAAACCCCTAGAATTAAAAAACTATTTTTTATTAAACCTACTCGACATTTTGACTAATACTGTCAAATTTAAACTATTTAATTCTAGTTTAATTAATTAGTAAGCAAATTAGTTGTTAAGAGATTTTTTTTATTTTGTTTCAATATACTTATCAGGTTGCGGTTGTACGAGGAAACATTTGTCGTGTCCACTATATGTATGCGAGTTATATAAATGTTGATGTAAGAAACGTCACAGTCAAATCACATTTTGAATTTGCTGATGAAATGCTAAGCGTATGTTTATGACTTCTACGAGGACATTCAACTTTTGTAAAACGGTTGGTCTAAAATTAGCATTTTAAATTTAAACTTATCTATATAAAAAAAAAAAAAAATAAAAAAAAAAGACACCATCGCTAACTTAACTGGGTTTCGAAACATTTCACTTAATCTTTCGGTTAACTGCTGATGCGAGAAGGTCGTATACAAAAACAATGTGGATATGTTAAAATATTTGATATCCAAGAATCAATGACATTGTGCATTGCTCACAATTTGTTGTCCGACTTAAATAGAGCGGTTGGCGTGGTACTTATTGAAAAAAGGCAGACTTACATAAAATCTATTAAAAAATTTTTTCATTATTTTAAATTTTATTTTCTCGTACTTAGCATCATTTTCTGTTTTTCCTCTTTGGAGTTTTAATGCTTGGTCCAAAAATTATTTATTATCTTCTTAATATCTACGAGGGTCCATTTGTAGGGGGCGTATGAATATTTTGCCGTATGTTGCTGCTTATCGTCCTAAAACTTGTACTTATCATTAGAAGAAAAGCGGAAACGTATGTATGAAGAAAGCGCGCCCTCAAAGAGTTTTGTTTTTATTTTCGCACGACCCTCCAGCATATCAGCTGTTAACTGAGAGACGAACTGTAATAAACAAAACAACGGGATCAGCTAAATGGTCTTTGCGTGTTTTGGTCAACATTGTACAATCGAACATGCGCTCAGCTGTTGTGGTTACGAAAACTAACAAAAATTTCGTTACCGAATATCCTCCTCGGAATAGTATAGTTTATCACGCGTTGAGTGAGTATTGTACGAATAAGAATCTATCCGCACCTACGACTTATATTAACGTTATTACGAAAGTATGCACGTGCAAATCACAAAAAAATTGCTTTGATCATAGATGCTGTCATGATATATCATGTACCTGTATGATATATCATGTACCTGTATACAGGAAACTACTTAAACTCGTCATCGTTGGAAGTGTAATTTTGATTTTCTCTGCATGTTTTTTTTACCCATTCCTTTAATTATCATTGATATTATTTTGCGAAAATGATTGAAAAAATTAAAAAGAAAAAAAAAAAAAAGTAATTCATGTTTTTCTCTACAAGTAGGATAATTTTACTACGGTATTTTATTATCAACTTCAAAAATGAACGAGTTTCTTAAAAAACAGCATGTTTCAAGAGCTAGAAAAACGCCTAGTCCATAGAGCACAGTGCAAATAACCACATTAAAATTTAAAAAGTGTTATTTTAACATAATTGTATTTAGGGTGTATTATTACAACAAATTTCTATATACAAATCGTAAAATGCAAAAATATTAACATTACATGAAAATTTCTTTATGATCTTTTAAATAAATTAATCAAAAAGTTGCAATACAAAGGGATACTAATTTCAAGTACATATACTTAAAAATAGTAATAAAAAGTACTTGCCGGCTCGCTAGCACCGACGCGCAAATCCAAGTTGGCCTCTCGGGGAAAAAGAATATCCTGTCCGACACAACAGGTTCGCATGATCAGTGCCACAAAAATCGTTCTCATCAATATCACGAATGTCATTGTCAACCGTCCTTTTTTTATTTATTAATTTTTAGAAAGAAAAAGAATCTCACACGAGATCGAGAACGACAGTCGTCGAATTTAATATATAGAGATGCAAAATCCCGAGGAGGAATACAGGGAAAAGATAACGTGTGTTGCTCGGCTCTGTGTACTGGTACGAGTGGATATGGAATAATCGTTATTTATAAACATAGTGCCGGAGTCGGGCTCTTGGTATAAGTATATGCCATTCACGGTGGTACTTGCGCGTATGCTAACGACGACGCACTTTGATTAAAACGTAGTCCCAGCAAAAACAGACTTCTTATATCTACAAGATATCTACAAGATTTCTTTGAGATGGACATTAGAATTTAAACTGCGTTCGCTGGAAGATATCATGTCAAAGCTTATTGGAGAGACCGACGCGTGAGTAGGTAATAATTCTTGTGTCATGGGTGCGCCTCTATATATTTCCATGCAGTTACGATTTTTTTTTTTTTTTTTTTTTAATTGGTGTTTCAGTGGATGTATTATTCGTGAAACAGGAAATTTTCAGTGTACAAGAGCCGTGCACGCGGTCTTTACTTCGAACTGATTCATTTCAGACAAAACTATAAAAGCGTGAGTTGGAAAAATATGCAAATATGAGGACTAGAAATCTGATGCTAAAAGTATAATGTATGGTAAAATAGATTGGTTTTTGATCGTAATCTTTGGATAACAAGAGTTATGCTATATATTTGCTTAACATTTTAGGCTCGTGATGAAGAAACTCTTGAGTTTTTGGATCATAATTGTAAGTTGAACATTAACGAGCTTTTTTAGAAAGTGTCGCAAAATAGAAAATACTTAGAGACAAAAATTACCATTTTTTAAATATTTATAATCTTGTCATTAATTACTCCATGAAAATACCCGTGAAATTTTCTTCAGCAAGGACACTTGACTTTGCTTTCTCTTTTCCTCTTTTTTGTTTATCAATTCGGTTATGGGTTTCAGAATTGTTTTTTCTTTTTCCTCAAGATTTTTTTCGTTTTTTGGATTACTCGCAGGATTCTCACACTGTTTTTCTTCCTTTTCAAATTTTTCATCTTCTTTATTCTTTGGCACAGACATGATTTCAGGACTCTTTTTTTTCTCCACTGCAACCCCATAATCTCTTTCATTTAGCGGCTCTAATGTGGGTTCCTGAATCTTTTTTTCATTTACTTCATGCTTTAACTCGGGCAAAGGATTCAAATTGTGTTTTTCTTCCCACTCAAGTTTCCCATTTTCTATATGCTTTGGTTTGGGTACAGGTTCGAAAATGTGTTTCTCCCCCATTTCGAGGGGATAACTTTTCACATCCTGTAAAATTTAGAAAAATCCTGTTAACTTTTTATTCAATATTTACATATTAAAATTCTATACCTTGATGTCCTCATTAAATGTTTCAAGTATTTTATCTTCTTCATTTTTCAGTTGCAACGTAGGTTTATTTTCAAGGTCTTTTTCTTGTTCAATCTTTGGCTCAGATGAGAATTCTTCACTCTGTTTCACTTCTCCTTCGAGTTTTTCATCTTCTGTACTCTAAAGTATTGAAAGAAAAAAAAAAGTTAAAAATTTGTTATTTTACCACAACGTAAATTTTTAAATACTACTAAGTATATACCTTAGTATCTTCACTGATTCGTGGATTTGGTAAAAATGAATTTTCATCATACTCTGGACACGATTTATATATTTGGAATATTTCCAATAACTTTTGAGGTGGTAACTCTTTAAAAGTAGTCGTGATGTCAATATTTTTTTCAATGAATTTGGCTCCGCATCCTGGAGCAAATGATCTATAATTTATCAAAAGGATATTTAATAAATGAATGTTTGAAAATCTAACAAACGTTGAAATATTTAAATTAATTTAAAAAGTAAATAAAATATACTCTATCTCTTGAATCACTTTGATTTTTGATGATCTCAAACAGTGTTTAAGGAAAAACCAAAAAGCTCTTAGATTTTCTCTTTCAAAGGATTGGAAGGCATTCTTTTTAGGTTCCACTTTAACAACTTTCATAGGCATACTCAACATATCTTTATTTGCTACTCTAGAGACTGGCCATGGTATAAAAGACGTTCTGGGCACCTCACCTAATATTTGACTGTCAAAAAAAAGCTTAAGAAATACATTAAACTGTGTATAAAAACGTTTTAGTTTGACAGAATCGTTGAGTACATTCAATCTCTGAAAAATAAAAAACTGGTTGATATTTTTGAAAAACAAACAATAAATTTTTCATACAAGTATACATACATCCCAAGTTTCAGAGCTCACAGCAAAGTAAAAAACTGGCCTGCCATGACAAAATAAACTCGTTTCATGAACTAAGTTATAAATAAGCATCACAATTGATGTTCTGTCGGATGCAAACAATATTATTTGGGCATTAGTTTTGCTTTTCCAATCATTATGTGGAACATCAGTTAAGTAATGGCCTGTCAGGTTTTCATTCATAAAATTATCCCTAATGGCCATTGCCCATATATCAGTAAAATTCAACTCCTTCAAACTCAATCTGGATTTGTGATCTTTTAATAAACTTTGCAAGGGACTGTTTGGCGTGAGAAATGAACGATTCTTTTCAAACATATTGATCTTGGGTACGCCAATTTTCAACAACTCTTCCGTCAAAATCCCTAAGCCTGAATTGTTTTCAATCACATGAGACGTGTTTTGCAATAAATCTTGTTCAATCATGGAACAAAACTGTTTCGCGGTGTCACGATTTATCAAGTGTAGTGATAAACTTTTTCTTTTTCCTAAAAATTTCGTAGGTATAAAATTCAAATAATTGTTTTCCTTCAAATGATTAATTAGTTCTGGATATACTGTAGCCGGTCTGGACGGCCGTTTTTGAGGCTTTTTAATTGTTTTCTCAACAGGTAATTCAACGTTTTCAGCAGTTGACGACTTTTGGAAAGAACTTGTATGAAAATGACGAGTCCGCCATATACTTCTGCACAACATTTTGACAGTTTAAAGTAGTATTTTGAGTTGAATTTAATTAATAACTAATTTTTTTTTGTTTTTAATATTCCTTCAAAAAGAGAGTAAAACTGTAAAGAAACGTCAAACATTACGTAAGAACACATAACAGCAACAAAATGCACACACTTGAATCATAGTTAGACTCAAGTTTTCTTGTTCACTAAAACTTAATTGTTGAACTTTTAAATCACTGGTAATCTGTTGGGTAAGTATTGCGTTCCTGAATTTTTTTTCGAAATTCCACGTGTGAGGTCAGAGGATAAGTTTTTTTGTACTTAACCTTGACTTTAACGCCGGTTCGATATGACAATGTTCGATATATGGCAGACTAAGAATTTCTGATACGATTAATTGTTTTTATGTAAGTATAAATGGTAATTGCAAAACTTTTTTTATGATACTTTCATGTTTACTTCACAGGGTTTTTTAAAAGACATAGTTGGTGATAGTTCCCCTAGAAAATAGTTTGCGCCAATTCGCGAAATTCTCAACGCTAGATGGCGCTGATACACAACATGGGGTGTTTGGTTTTCCGCAATCAAGTAATTTAAGGTTGCGCTCTACGTTACCGTCAGGTCGGTAAGTCAACTACCTTGAATAAAACTGGCGCTCTATTCCGTAATCTGCACAGTTAAAACAGCAGACGACGTGAAAGTCGAGAAAAAAGTGAAGATTTCATCGCTGTATGACTGTCGTCTGCTGTTTTTACTGGCCAGATTACGGAACAGAGCGCCAGTTTAATTGAAGGTAGTTGACTTACCGACCTAACGGTAACGTAGAGCGCAACCTTAAATTACTTGCTGGTGACGATTGCGGATTGCGGAAAACAATTGCGAATTTCGGCTGAATTCGAATTTCGAATTCCCAGGTGTTTGCGCGCGCATCGTCACGTGTTGTCTGTTGACTATATACTTAACTATATAAGTATACTTTTATATGTTGACGGTGTTAACAGTTAACACAGCATTCTGAATTCTGAATTGCTGCATGGAATAAACAAGTTGTTGTGTGGGTACAGGTATTTTAGGATTTTATTGTATCTCAATGAGATAAGCTTACGTTATAATAATTATAATATATGCACACGTATTTGATAAAATTGATTGTTAAATTGAGTGACGAGTACACTTGGCAGATTAATTTGAAGGTATAACTATTTCTCTTTGAATTAAACAAACTCAAAAAATTGGAATAAATTAAAAAAAAATTTTTTTTTACAAAAATTAGTAAACATTTCTTTGAGCCTTTCTTATTATGCTTAGTTTTTATAGCCCTGCTCTCAAAAGAGATAAAAAATTTTTTTCCATATGTTTTTTAAAGAAAAAACGGTAAAATCAGTCAATTACTTGTCTTACAAAACACTTGAGAATCCATAACTGGGTAGCTGGACACTTTTTTGAGTTTGTAAAACTTATTTAATTGTATAACTATATTCTAGCAGTTAATTCAGTTTTCAGGGTAACGGGAAAATAAAATAGATGAGCAATGGCCCAAAGTGCTGCTCTTTTAACACGCCTAGTGGCATCTACTGTACCAATAGCTACAAAAGCTGGTCAAATTGTGCGAGATGTCATGAGCAGAGGAGAACTTAATATTGTAGATAAAGGAAAAAATGATTTTCAAACTGAAGCGGATAGATCAGCCCAGAGATGTATTATATCTTCTCTAAATAAGCAATTCCCAGAAATTACAATTATAAGTGAAGAAGAGAAATCAAACTGTGAAGTTCCTTCAGATTGGATCATCACAGATATGGATCAGGAAGTACTGAATTTAAGTCTTCCACCACATTTAGAAAACGTTGATCTCAAAGATTTGTGTGTCTGGGTAGATCCTCTGGATGGTGATGATTATATTTTCATTTCGTAAGCATTCTCTATGCTGTAAGCATCATCATTTAACAGGACATTGAATTATTACAGGAACTGCAGAGTACACTCAAGGTCTTGTTGAGCACGTGACAGTTTTAGTGGGTATTGCTGTTGGAGACAAAGCCATTGGAGGTGTGATACATCAGCCATATTTCAAGAATCCAGATACTGGTTCTTGGGGAAGGACTATTTGGGGAATCGAAGGTGTAGGAGTTGGAGGATTCACACCTACTCCACCTCCAAAAGGAAAAAGAATCATTACTACCACACGGTAATGTGTGTGTAGAATTTTTTTTTCTCAAATCTATATAATTCGACAATTAATGATAACTATTTAAACCATTTTCAGTTCACATAGTGACAGCACTGTTGAAGCTGCTCTGAACGCGTTAGAGCCTGATGAAATTTTAAAAGTTGGTGGTGCTGGTCACAAGGTGAGTAACATTGAATTTGATATTTAACAAAGAAAAACAAAAAAATAACTTTACAAATTGTCACTAACACAAAATTTTTTTAAAGAAATTCTTGGAAAGAAAAATAATAAAGCATTAAAGCATTTAATTTATTAAATATTTATTTTCTGTTGTATGATTATTTTTAGGTCATGCTGTTGTTAGATGGAAAAGCTCATGCATATGTTTTTGCTAGTGGAGGCAGCAAAAAATGGGATACTTGTGCTCCAGAGGCAGTTCTTCATGCTGTAGGAGGTACTTTAACAGATATGCATGGAGATAGATATTCATACAATCCCAAGATAAGTTATCCCAATAAGAGAGGGGTATTAGCTACTGCTCCCGGGGAACAGCATAGTTGGTATTTAACACGCATTCCAGACGACATAAAGCAGAGATTAGTATAAAGATGAATTACACCTTTTTATAATTAATTTTATTATGGTAAAAATGGGTATATAAGTATATTATATATATTTAAATAAATCTATACAAAGAACACGTTTCATAAACACAACTGTAGCCTTTTCTAACGTTATTTTACTGCCTAAAACAGCAGATACATACCGTACTAATAATAATGACTGAGTCCTACTTTTGAGTAGCAAAAAATACCTAATATAAATAAATATGATTTAAAGCTTGGACTTCAATAAATTTCTTAACTCGCGACGAAGTATTTTCCCAGATGGGTTCTTTGGAATGTTTTCTATAAATCGAACACCTCCTCGAAGTTTTTTTTGGTTTGATACTCGCTCTGAAACAGAAATACATTATTAATGGGACGGTAAATTTTTTTTTTTTAGGTTTGGTGAAAATTTTACCATTAACATAATTAAGAATATTTTCTGCAGTAATTTCGGCATTAGGTTGTTTGACAACAAATGCAAGTGGTAATTCGCCAGCCACCTCATCTGGTAAGCCTACAACGGCAACATCTTTCACCGCAGGATGAGTCAGTATAATAGCTTCCAACTCAGCTGGAGGAACTTGAAAGCCTTTATATTTAATAAGCTCTTTTAATCTATCGACTATGAAGAAAAAGCCATCATTGTCGTAGTATCCAATATCACCAGTGTGTAGCCAGCCATCTTTATCAATTGTTGCTGATGTTGATGTCGGGTCATCACAATATCCTTTCATTACCACGTCTCCTTTGAAACATAGTTCACCTTGACAGAAAGGACCCAAAGTTTTCGTAGAAGTGCTTTCATTTTCATCAACTTGTACAACTTTACCTAAAATTTATTTTTACAAGGATTTTAGTTTTCAATTCTCTTGGAGTGCATCGTTGAAATATTTTTTCAATTCTGTTTACCTAAGCAACCAGCTATTAATTTTCCAACACTACCAGGCTTGTAATCATACAGGGGATTTTTCAAGACACTAAAAGTTAGTTCAGTCATCCCATAACCTTGTTTGATGTCTGGATTATTTAATCTTTTTTTAACTGCCTGTTCTATCTCACTCGAAAGAGGAGCAGCTCCACACCAAATAGTTTTCAGAGATGATAAATCATATTTGTCCACCATAGGGTGTTTAGCTAAAAATAACATTAGTGGCGGTACCAGTGGCATTACCTCAATTTTATATTTTTCTATAGTTTCTAGAAACGCCTTTTCTTGAAAACTAGAAAATATAATGGCTTTAGTTCCAGAAATAAGCGTCATTAAAACAAGATTAAAACAATAAGAATGAAACATTGGTAATAAAAATATCATGACTTGATTCTCAGATGCCAAATTTGTGGATCCATCCAACATGGCTTGTATTGACTTTAGGTAATTATTATCACTGTGCATCACTCCCTTGGGGAGTCCGGTTGTTCCACTTGAACACAATATAGAAACAATGTGTTCATGAATATCAACTTTAGTAACTTCGAAATTATTCAGCATAACCGGTGTTACATTAGCTATCAGATTGTCTACAGAAGGTACATTAGCTTCGTTGGGCTGATTAAGAGTAAGTACTAAAGTTGGAGACCACGAAAGATCTTTGACTACGTTCTTCATAGAACTCAGTGTTTTTGGCGACACAAAAATATACTTTGGCTTTGAAATATTTAAAGTGTGGACGGACTCTCGCTTGGAGTACGAATGATTCAATGGACAAATAGATGCACCCACAAAAAGGCTGGCACAGACTGGAACAGACCAACCCAGGTTGTTTTCACTGCAAATGGCTATCCTGTCGTTTATCTTGACCCCATTTCTCTTCAAATGAACAGCCAACTTGCAACTTTTGTCGTAAATCTGTTCAAATGTAACTTCTTCGCCAGTTTCTTGTTGGATCTGTAAGTACGTAAAAATTAAAAAAAAAAAAAAAAAAAACAGCTTCAAGAAAATACAGCGGTATAAACCGATTGAAACGATAATGATGTCTTTTACCTGAGCTACTTTATTAGAGTGAGATATCAATTGATCGTGTATTAGTTTTCCCATAGTGATGTCCTCGCCAAATTCGAACAGGTAATTCGGTCCACGCAAAACATTGGGATCGTCAATCATTTTCGCGACTCAACTAACAACTGTCACAAGTTTCCTCGAATTTTTCCTCTTAGCGCAAAAATTGTTTCGCTTCTTAGTGAAATACAACGTGAGAATTAATGAGCGAGTATATCATTCGGTGACACCTTAAGATAACAAACGGATCACGTCGGGGAAAAAAGTAATGTTAACTTACGTGCAGTTCGAAGATAAAATGGGAAAAAAAAAAAAAAAAATGTTCGAACGTTCTAATATATATGGTATTACTTATATAACGAAAACCATGAGATAAGCCTTTTAAACCTACTGATAAGCGAGAAATACTTTTTTCGTACTGACTAGTGGATGGAATAATACAAAGATTATATAGTTATCGTGGATGAAAAAAAAAAAAAAAAAAAAAAAATTAAAAAAATAAATCAACAAGCCCGTAAGACGATGGCAAAAACCGGTTATGCGTGGATTCAATTTTGCAATGTGTACTCATGTTAAACACTTCACGTTGCAAAGAAATGTTGTATTTGCTGTGCGACTTGTACCATTATTGTTGAGCCGACAACCGACAAGAGCCGAAGGAGCGCACTAAAAGTGTAGGTATATATATAAGTGTACACACCCCTTACAAGTCCCCCGTCAAATATTACACGACTGCCGTTCCTGCCCTACTCTGCCCCTTCGAATGACGTGTGTGCGCCGTAATTATGTTTATTATCAATAGGTACATGCGTGCGTGCGAATATCATGCAATCATTATTACGATGGGGTATGTGATGGATCTGAGGACAAAGGGTTGTGGTGGATTTTTTTGGGTGATTTTGACACGTATAACATCATATAAATATTACGAGTGCGAAAAAAAAAGTCGCTAAGCCACATCTATTTGTGTACTGTTTTAGCGAATACAAACTTTTTGCGCACACATTCGTTTAAAGTTGTTTTTTAAAATACGAGAAAAATTTTTGCGTTCGCGGGTACGGTATGCAAATATTTTCTTATTTCAATTCAGTTCAATGCAATATTATTCAGTTACGTAAGATGCAGATGCAATTAGTCTGTGCTTGTAATGTGTGACACTGAATATACAAAATAAATGAGCAAAAATCATTATAGAATATGACACAATTAAATAAAATACATATAGATAAATATGAGAAATTATTGTAAAATAAGATATAAAAAAATTTGTAAATAATCACTCATCCTATTTTTCACTAATAATATATATAATGAAACTATTTTTTTTTTTTTTTTTTTTCTATTGAGATTTTGAAATTTTTTATTTAATATGTATGATGTAAACTTGAAAAAAATACATATTTCTTACCTTTACAGCTGCTTCATCTTATATAACTTTCCCACAAAGTTGGAATCTGCGAAAAATTCGTACAAAAAATCAAACATATTATATGTATTTACTGTAATCGATAATCACAGTTTATTTGTTTGGTCAAACTCTGTTATACAGTTCAAAGCCAGTCTGATATAGGCTGAAGTAGAAGACCCAAGCTCGTATTTTATTACAATATTGAAAAAAAAAAATTACTTTCTGTTCATAAAAAATTATTCATGTACGTATAATTTTTGAAAACTGAATCAACTATCACACTTTTTAGAGAAAACTGTTATTTTATTTCCTTGAATTAAAAGGGGGGAAAAAATTTACAAACCTTAAATTGTGCACAGTAAAAATTAACATATTTTTAAAATCAAAATAATGGATTAAAAATAAATGTATTCTATTTATTCAATTACGATATATTTTTTTCTGTCAGATAAAATACAGTTCCAAATTATCAACTAATTGAAAAAAAAAAAAAAAAAACAAAACAAAATGTATTGTAACGTACGATTATCAATCAATGACTTGCCAGTTGAGTATTTTATTGTTATCAGGTCAAAAGTATCATTAGTAGCTCTTTTATCTTTTTACCTGTTCCTATTCATCATTGTTATCTGTACATTAAAAAAAAATTCAACACAAATATGTGTATTTATACATTTTCTTCTAATTATCAGTGATTAATTTAATATTACACGGTACTTGAAAATCGCGTAAGTATCGAAGATAAATAAAATATATTCATTATTTATAAGGTCAATTTGAAAAATAATAAAATAAATAATTAACCGATATCTTGTGATTAAAGCGATCAAAGAAACTGATGAAAAACTTTGATATAATAAGATTGATAAAGTTTTTAGACGTAATAATAAGAATTTGTTTAAGATAAAACAAAACGAAATTGTCGTTAAGTAGCTAATAAGGTTTTTAGGAGGAAGTTTTTTTTTTCAAAGAAAACAATGTTTGTTGTAAAAGTGAACGTGTTTATTTAAAATATCGTTTAGTTTTTAAAGTGTTACATTTTTCATTCACTTATTGGTTTTCGTATAATTCGTTGAAAGTAATTTTGATCAAACAACAAATTGCTTTTCATAAGTTATTTTTACTACGAAAAGCGACAATAATGTCTAGAAGTAATGACTTGATAAGTGTAGTTTCACTCAAACAATTATCCATCTTACTAAAAATTGTGGACAACTTAAATTTTAATCAATGAAAATCTAATGAATTTTTCAAGCATTCATAGCACGAATTTTGTACGTTTTTATAATATTATCAAGTGATTATTTCTTCTAAGAAATAAAGAAATGAGCTTTTTACTTAAATTATGTATAACTACTGCCTAACAAGCAAAGAAAATCGCGTATAAAAAATCACTTTTTCATTTTATTTTATATTTTTACATATTTTGAAATAATGCAGTTAGACGAAACTACATTACATATAAAATACAACAATGTACGAGAAATGGTACACGTTTCGTCATTTCGCATCTACAATGTGCTTTTCATCCTTAGTTTATTTTTCTTTTTATATTTTCAAACTGTATAAAATTCGAATACGCGCAATCATACGTCGCCTTTTTGTCATATTGACGCAAAATTTACAAGGTATGCAAAACTTCGACGAAATGTATGTGAAGTATCATATGACATCGTAAGCGCCATTCGCAATTCCGAGCGAATAACGCTGTTTTTTTTTTTTGTTAATGTTAATTAACTTGACAATGTAAATGGAAATGACAATGTTTAAACATACCCACTATCATAAGTTTACATTCTTAACCGCTGTCAAATTACAATCCTGCTTCTTAGGTATGAAACAATATGTAATAACAAAAAAACTGAAATGTAAAGCTTTTCATTGAGTAGTAAAATTGCGTTTTCAAAGACACATCTTCATCCGATGGCTTAGTAACATTGCCCGTTTCTTTAATTTATCGTTTACTGAGAATCCGCGAGTGTAAATTAATTCACGTCAGTCCTGTTACCGCTTTCAATTTTGGTTCCGATTAAAATTAAAGGATAGCTTCAGGACTGGATACATGCGGATACTCACTTTTATGATAAAGCATGTAAGAAAACAAAACTTATCAACTCCGTGAATAAATCTACAAAGTTTAATATTACATTAACGTCGCTCCTAAAGTTACATTGGTTAAAGTAAAGGGCACGTCGAGATGCGTACTTGGTACTTTATTGGCATTAATTTTTTTTGTTTTGACAATAAAGTACGACTTGTCCTCACGATTCTCCCTCTGTACAATCGGCTCTGTACAAATCGTTTTTATTTTTATATATACGCCTATACGATGCACATCATTTTATATACATTCTTTTTATAATTGAATATTAACCGAATCTTTAACTTTTTTTCGGTTTGATCTTGATTTTTTATACAAATATTTTTATTACCGTTGCAACATCATTTTTTGGTGACATCCATGATTGGTGAGGGCCTGAGAGCATCGCGGCAGTGGCCTTCGATATCATACCACCGTTTATTTTACTGAATTGACATTCTTATGATCTTAGTCCTGCCAAGAGTCTGTTAGGTGACTAGATTCACTCTCCGCGACATCTTTCTCTACGGTTTCTCATTTAGCAGTCTCAATACATCATCAGGCATGTCCCATAAATGAAGATTCTTGTCTTTGCTGCCGGCTATTATCTACAAACATTGCGAGTCTTAATATAAATAGGCTATGAAGTGATTGTATTGATTTATAATTAATTGCTACTTACTTTTCTATCAATAAGTTCCATGCTTAAAAGCATATTTCCAGGGCCGGGTATAGCGCATACGAGGACTTTATCCTAAAAGTTTATGGAGTTGAAATAAACAATAACAAAAATGGGGCCACTTTTTTAGACAATAACGCTCTAGTTACCTCAGTATCAAAAACATAGATGTTTCCATCATAGCATCCAGCAAACAGAAGGTGTTGACATAAGCACATGCACACAATGCCGACACTTGCATTATATTTTTCTGTCTGTACTCCAGTCTGAAATATAATAAATTAACTTTGAATAAAAAGATACTTTTGTCAATTGGATAGTTATGAATAATCGGAATAACTTACAATAAAATCGAAAACAGGAAGCGACCTACTACTTGTTCCGCAGTAAATCAGACTTTTTTCTCTGAGTAAACTGTAAATTGTGTAATTTTCTTCACCGCTTATCGTTCGCAGCAAGAGTCCATTGTCAGCATCTCGAATGGCCAACTTTTCAGCTCGAGCAGCCACGATCAGCACCCTTCTAGCTCCTTCTTTGGTCGCTTTTAGTGCCATGATTGATGGAGGTTTTTTCTTGTCGCCTTCTGCTGAAACTATTGTAGCCAAATTCCTCGTCTACAAAAAATACATGTCAATATCAAATAAATACCATATTCTTTTAATTTTGTATTTTATTTCAAAATAAATATGCACGTACCTGAACATTAAATCGTAATATACTTCCAGATTTGGTACCGATATAAATGACATTCCAGCACAGCTCCATACATTGAATAGGACTTTCCACTTCGTTTATTTGTTGTTCCAGACCAGTCTGCGAAAATTGTTGTATTAAAAAATTATGGAAAAAATAACCAGTGAAACAAAATTATTAAATTAACAAAAATAATTGGCGTGTGTATAAATGAACAAGCTAAGTAGAATAAACATTAATTTAATAATTCTTACCCTAATATTGTAGCAACGGAGACTGCGATCTAAGGATCCCGAACACATAAGTTCATATTTATTGCTATGCTTGTCTACATAACAGGGAACACAAAGACATGTCACAGCACCGGTATGGCCTTTGAAAACTCTAACTAATGTATCAGATGTGATTTTGTACTGATATACTAATCCATTGTCACTAGCTGCCAAGAAAGTGTCTTCAAAAACCTAAAAAGCCATACGAATTCTTCATCTAGTCAATGTCTCTAATTCTTCTTATCTTTTATCATGTCTTAATTAATAAGCTGTGTTAAACAATTCCATACACAAGAGATAAGTCGATTTGTAGACGTTTCGTGGTGTTATTTAAAACATGAGATTAAATTGAAGACACATGTACATTGTTAATCACAGGACAGGTAAAGGACATGTCAGAGTAATGAGTAAAAGCAGGATTCTACAAATTTGTGAGTTTTTATTAAATCTATAATTACGAACATGCCTCGCAATTAAAATCGATGATCAAAAAATCGATAAAATTAACACAAAGCCTGCGTTTTCACGATAAGTAAAAAAAAAAAAAAAAACTAAACAAAAACACGGTTTATAATTACTTATTAATTGAAAATTTCATTAATCACTATCTAAATTTTTACTTATTACGAAACAACATTATTTTACATTAATATATAGTTTACACAAGTCTAATTTAATATCTTCAAAGTCTAAAACTATAGGCTTTTGGGAATATCACATCCAGTTTTTAATTTAAGCGCAATTATAGTTTCTTGTACTGTAGTTACATGGTTTTATATAATAAGTTTGTCACAGTGTTGTGAAACATTTCACTTTGTAATTATTTTTTACTTCTCGGTCATGTTTTTTTAAGTCAAGTTCATCGTCAAGTTTACTTCTAAAAACTATTTTTTTTTTTTTTTTTCATCACTGTCCTTTACCTTGATATGCAAAATCGGACCCGTGTGACGTGAAAAAGTAGCTCTTTTGGATTTTGCCTCATCCTCCGCCACGTTTGAATTGGATTTTTCTTCAGTCTCGTTGAAAACTCCCGCCGCCGCCGTTGCCTTTGCTGGAATTTTTATTTTTTCCACAACTACTTGAATCTGAGCTAATTTGTTGTCTTTGCAATTTAATAATGGTTTTTTTTGCTGCAACGATTCTGAGAGACTTGAAGTAGACTTAGGAGATTCTGAAATTGTGGGAATATTCTGCTTTGATGGTGTTAATTGGTTTGCAGCCTCTTGTACTACTTTTTTTTTATTTTCTGAAGCGACTAACTCATTTTCTCTTGGTGGTTCCACTTCAAGACTTTTTTGTTTAATATCCGACTCCATTTCTTTAGTCTTGTTAATAGGTGAGTCTTCTTTTTTCTCAAAATCCTTTTCTGTTATCGTTTCTGAATTTGATTCGACCTCGGCGTTTGTTAAATTTTCCTCATTTGTTCGATTTCCGGTGTTTACTTCTATATTATTTTGCTCAGACTTAGCTTCATTCTTTTTTTTATGGTGATCTTCAACCTCGGAGTCTATCTTCTTTTTGGAATCAATTTTTTTTTTAGACTCTTCTTTTAGATTCTCTTTCTCTTCCGAGTTTTTTGCTTTTGCATCAGTGGTACCCTGTTTGTCTTTTTTACTCACAGTATGTTCTTCCTGCTTAACTTCTAAGCCAAGTTCTCGTTGTTTAGAACTAGATTTACTCGGAAATATAGACTTCAAGTTTCGAATGCGAGATATACCAACTTTACGTAAAACACTTGAAGATACGTTATTCCGAAGCAGAGTATACTTGCAGTCTATGATCGAGACTTTACACGCTCTCATCTCTGCTTTGCTCATAAATGGTTTTCTTTTAACACTTTGCTTTAATGGCACATCCTTATATTTACGCCTTCTCTTAGATGGAATAACTCCTTCACCATTCGACATTTCTTCTTCAATAATTCTTTTAGGGCGTCCACGACGTTTTACTTCTTTAACGTTTTCATTCTTATGTTTCTTGGACGGTTTTACTGTCTTGTGTCTCTTACTCCTCTTCTTGTCCTCAGCTTCATTATCTTTTATTTCATTTTCCGACTTGTCCGAATCACTCTCTACTTTTCTTTTTTTAGTTTTTGTTTCTGTTTTCTTGCGCTTTACATCCTTCGATTTTAATCGACTCGAGTCTTCTAGATCAGACTCGTCCGATTTTTCAGAATCACTATCTCTCTTTTTAGTGTTTTGTTTTTCAACAGCCAATTTTTTATTTTTGGCTGATTTAACTGACTTGCTTTCTTCCACGACAGATTCATCATTATCACCACCTTTAGACTTATCAGAATCACTATCGTGAATAAATTCTTTATCAACAGTCTTCGATTTTTGTGATTTCTTTGAAGTTATAGCTTTATTTATAACGATAGATTCTTTCTTCGATTTGTGGCGAGAGGGTTTTGTTTTCTTTTCTTCAGATCCCGAGTCTTCAGCAATAGTTTCTCTACTTTGTTGCATTACCTTTTGATCAGATACATTTTTCTTTTCTTCAAAATCTTTTTGGTCTGTAATTTTAACAATTTTCTCGTCCTCATCTGTCATTTTTTCTACTTCAACATCAGATTTTTCCGATGTAACATCTATTTCTCTTTGCACGACACTATCATCTAATTTATCTTCTTTTTCAACATCAATTTCACTATCAGAGTCAGCTTGATCTTGAGTTAGAGATTGTTTTTCTGAATAACTGTCAACTTTAGATTTATCTGATTTAGTTACTTGTGGATCTGCAGATGCCTCGACACATTTTGGTGAAGGTTGATTTGAACCACTTCCTACTGAACTACAATTGTCAATTACTTCTTTGGGTAGTGGCATGCCTTCGTAAGTAAATGGTGCCATCATATTATCCTCTTTGGCATTGTCATCCTCTGTTGGAATATCAATTTCAGCTTCTTCAAGAATATCTAAAACAACATATGGAGAACCTTCATAAGTAAAGGGTACATCAAGATCGGTTACTTCAACTTCATCTTCAGACTGAGAATCATGGCTCTGTTCAATCTGAGCTTTTTCTTTCGTGTCTTTTGTATTAGCAGATTCTACTTCTTTTTCATCGGACTTTAATTCAATCGCATTATCCTTTTCGGCAGATTCTGTTTCTTTCACGTCATTTATTTCAGCAGATTCATTGTCATTTTTCAAAGTTTTAGAAATTTCTTCATTCAAACTTTCAGAAACAGGTACTTTTTGTTGTTCTTCAGATTCAGGTAGAGGTGAATCAACATTTAACTCACCATCAGAAATATCTTCTAACTCAGAATTTTTAGGCTCTGAAGAAAGCTGGCAGAGTTTTACGATCTTTTCTTCTCGAGTTTTTTCTTTATTGTCATTGTTTTTTACAAGATTATTTAACTCTGGAGTTGGAGATTGCAGTTCGGAATTATTAACAACACACTCTATAACATCCTCATAGCGCTTGGACACTTCTGAAGAAACGATGACAGTTTTTTGTTTTTTCTTGGAAGAACGTTCAGATTCTTCCAAATCTACAATAGACGAAAGATCTGATTCTTCATCAGACTTATTTGACTGAGAATTTAATAAGAACTTTAAGGATGACTTTTGCTTTTTTGATTCTTTCTTAAGAGACTCTTCAAGAAGTGCAAGACCCTTTCCGGAGGCTTTACTATCACTTTTTGATAACTCCAGTGTGTCTTGAGTACTATCATCTGAATATATAACTGTTTTCTGATTATCCTGAATTTTTTTAACTGGAGACTGTAAATGAGTATTGGATTCTTTGCCAACCTTACTCTTTGGTCGCTTACTTGAATCTTTCGGTTTTATAGATTTAGCTGCTCTACTCTTAGAACGAGGTGGAAGTTCTGAAAGAGACAATGAAATCAAAATAAAGTTTGTTTGCATTAATAAAAAATGCGATGAACTTACCCTTTGAAGGAGTGATGCTTTGCTTCTTAATAATTCGTTTAACTTCCAAGTCCTTATCAAAATCATCCTTATCTTCGGGTTCGTGACTTTTTACTTTTTCTGATTTCTTTTCTTTGTCATTTGATTGATCTTGTTTTACTAGTTGACCACCTGAAATAATTTTATTAAAAAATGTTAAAGGGCATATTATCATGTTAAGAAAGTAACTACTAAAACTTTTGTCTGGAAAATTTTTATCTTTTTATAATTGTAAAATTATGATATATATATATAAAAACTAAATATTTTCTATTAATACTTAAATAACACCGAAGCATACATGAAAGATATTTTGTACACGAGAGATACCTCTCTTGGGGAATGTTATACTTAATTTAAAATACTACATAGAAATAAGAACTTACCATCCGGTTTAGGTTCGTTGATGCCATTGGAATTCTCTTGACTGCTGTCTTCATGATTGTCGGAAGACTTACCAGGTTGGTTTTCGCTCACAGCTGGAATGTTTGTCTCATCGTCGGAAAAGTCTTTAGCAATCGCATCTACCATTTGGCGTGCGAACTCTTGCGACTTTGCCAACGACTTTTCTACAGACTTACTTTTTTCAGCTTCATCCGATCTGCCCACTGAACTCCTTGCTGACTCTATTGTTATAATTTGGGATAGATCAAAATCTAAACATCTAACATTCCACGCAGATAACATTGTCGACAGTTTACCTGGTTTAAGATCAGAAGCTAAATCAATATCCGATTTTTTCTTGTTTTCACTGTCACTTGCAGCAGATGAATGCATTCGGCTCTTCGGTCGCTTTGGTCTATCGTTAAGAACGCGATTTTCTACATTAGAGTCACTGTCCGATTTACTGATGGATTTTTCTTTCCCAGGTGAAGACTTTTTGGGCGATTTGACCCTTTTCTTGCTTTCATCATTACTCGTCGATGAATCTCGAGACAATTGGCGAATTCTACCTTTAGCTCTTCGTTTGGGACTAACGCTTCGATTACGAACTGAACTTTCATCTTCTGATTCATCACCTGATTTCATAGCAGCCATTTGTTTTGTCTTGGGAGATTTTATTTTCAAAACTTTGCCTGCTCTACTTCTAGCACGTTGGGATCCAATAGGTTTTTTCTTGTCACTTTCAACTTCACTGTCCGATGAGTCTTGAAGGTTTTTGCGGATTTGATCTTTTGACAGAGACTTACTTTTGGCTGTTTTTTGAGAAAGGGGTTCATCTGAATCACTGTCCAATAATCCTTGAGAAAATTTACCAATGCTGCTTTTAGGTCGTGGCCTTTCAGGACTAGAACTACGATCTCGTTCAAATTGACCAAGTTTTGATTTTATTTTTGACTTAGCTTTTTTGGTTTTTGATAATTTTAATGTAGTTTTATCCTTAAGAAGATTTCCTATACTACTTTTGGAACGTTGAGTCAAGTTTGATGCTGTAACAAAAAATTATAAATGGTAAAATATGAAGAATTAAACAAAATTTCCATAGATATAACGTTTGACTCACCACGACTAAAAACAGGTTCATTATCACTAACTTTCTGTGGTTTTCCAATGCGGCTTTTAGATCGCAAAATTTCTTTGGGACTAGGGCTACGGTTGCGTGTATATTTTTCAACTTCTGAATCAATATCCGATTTATTGCTATCATTAACAGTCTTTACTGGTGATGTATGTTTCTTTTCTACTAAAGGTTTATCTATTCTATTCTTTGATCGTTTAGTTGATCCTAAAAAGTAAGGGAAAAAATGTAATTTAACCATTATTTGCACAATAGTAACTAATTTTTTTACTTGATGTGAATAATCAAAATTTACCTGATTTAAGGCTGGATACCGACTCAGAACCAGATTTCCTCTTTTCATCTTCACTTTCACTATCTACCAAAGCTTTAGAAAGTTTACCAAGCTGACTTTTAGATCGGAAATTTGCTTTTGGACTGGTACTCCTACCACGAGACTCATTATCCGAATCGTCTTTTGATTTCGTAGTTTTTGGAGACTTACGCCTAGCAGCTTTACCAAGTCTGCTTTCTGAACGTTTTATTGAATCTGTGTAATGATACTCGATGTTGAAATCAATTTTTTTTTAGATATAATACAAAATACGAATCAATAACTTTACCTTTCTTTCCTCGACTTGACATCGATTCAGTGTCTGATTTTTTCTTAAAGCCATCATCATCACTTACTTGTGCACCCTTCATAGGTTTACCAGCACGGCTCTGAGAACGCTTGCGAATTTCACTTTCATCTTCAGAATCAGTGTCATTAATTTCCTTACTCTTTAATGATTTCGATGGTTTCAAAGGTTTGCCCATTCTGCTTTGAGATCGAACTGATTCTGCGGAAAAATCAATTTTACTGTAGCACAAAAAACCAAGTAGACTTTAATCGAAAAATTAAAATTTATTACCTTTTTTAGGTTTGTTTTTGTTTTCTTCCTCACTGTCTGACGAATTTTTGAGAGCTTTGCCAAGTTTCTTAGCACGCTGTGTTTGCGGAGCTTGCATGGAATTCAACTTTGATTGTAATATTGCATCAGAATCATCATCCGACAAATTTTTCGAGGCAGCTTTGACATCCTTATTAGATTTCGTTGATTTTTTACCCTTAGAGGGTTTTTCAAGTTTCCTCGAAAGAGATTCTAAAAAAAATTTTTTTTATGAAAATTTTCTTTTTTTTAAACCAACCATTAAGTTATAAGAATAAGTCTAGTCGTTAGAATAAATAGTTGCTAGTTTATAAATAAAGAATCAAGTACCTTTTTCAAGCTTTGTTAGAGCTTTAACCTTGAACGGTTCTGGACTAACAAGACGCTTCCTGGCGGAACTTTCGGACTCAGATTCATCTGAAGATCCTTTGGAAAAAGTTCTTATCCTGCCCTTTGATTTTGGCGTAGTTTCAGAACTATCAACTTTATGCCTCTTCTTCGAGGCTTTGGAATCTTCAGAAGATTCCTTGTGCTGCTTGCTAATTTTGGTATCGGGCGTTGATTTTAGAGAAGTTTTTGTTTTATCTTTGTCTATGGACAGTTCACTAGACACAGAGCGCCTGCTGTTGGATCCATCTTTGGATTTGGCCTTTTTCTTTTTCCTCTTGTCGTGGATCTTTTCTTTCTCATCGTCTTTGTGCTTGCTTTCGAGGCGCTGTCCAGATTTATCCGAGTCTTTGTCGCCAGTACCAAGCTTCTTCTCATCAAGAGCTGATCTCTCAGATACTTTGTCGGACATATCCAGAGCATTAGTTTCACTTTCCGAGCATTCTGGCTTTTTCGTTGTTGGTTGCTGCTGTAGCACCGACATGCCCGGCAGCATAGACATCATGGATAGCGGATTAAAACCTATATTCATGCCTATGGATGCAGCGACCTCCAACTGTTTTTTAGGATCAGCAGCCTGGGGCATCATCATCATCGAGAGTGGATTGAAGCCCATGTTGATACCACCCGTGGCCGCGATCTCTGCCTGCTTTTTCTCGTCCTCGGTGACATCGTCCCCAAGAGCGTTAGGCAGGTGCTGGAAGAGCTCACACTTTTTGTACCACAGCTCGAGCATCTTACGGTTGATATCGTTCATCTCGTTGACGATATTCATCCAGGTGTGACGGGTCGGTAGAACCGTAGGCTCCACCAGCTCAGAGTTCATAAGATTATCGATACCAACGGATTTTGGCGGGGGCTTCGCCGCTTTGAATTTGGTTTTCGGCTTGTTAAGGATTTTATGTAACTTACGATCTAGTGAAGGTTTTTCCTTTCTCTCGTTAGACAAGTTCTCGAGGTCTTCGGATTTTTCTAAAACAACGAACGGCTGCTTTTTGTTCATCGCTAGCAACAGGTCTGTTTTTTTCTTGTTTTCAAATTCTTCTGTTTCAGCCGCAACAACATCCGTCACTCTCTCCTCCTCCAACGCGGCTACTTCCGGCTCGTCTTCATTTTCTTGTTTCGACGAGTCTGGGGCACTGTTCGTGTTGTTGTCTTTGTTAACCAGCAACGACAACTGTCCGCCGCCATTAACAACTTCGTCTGCTTCGTTGGAATTTGTTTGTACCTTACTTGTATCGACGTGCACTGAATTCTCGGAAGCCTCGTCTGTATCGAGCGCCACAACGTTTTTCGTCGTTGTATCGATCAAGTCCGAAGTCGGTGACAACACAGACTCACTGTCATTCGCACCAATTTTTTCTTTCTCCATGACAACCGAGCTCGTGCTTGTGGTCATCAAATTGTCGATGCGGTTGTACTTCTTGCTACCGTCTTTACTCACGTGTATCACCGTAATGGGCGTCCTTAAAATCATCTCGGATATTAAAGAGGGCCGTGCCTGCACTTGAGGCCTTTCGATTGGCTCGTCACTGACGTCGGCAACACTGGGCACTGCGTTGTCGGCAGATTTGAACTTTTCAGCGGGAAGAAGCACGTGTTCGCTGCTGCTGCTACTGCTGTCAATGGTGATCACCGGCTCTTTGACTATCGAGTCGAGCAATAAGAGCGACTTTTCGATCGGATCGTCCAGATTGACGGGAAGCTCGAGCTCTTGGGCCACGATCGGAGTCTCCTCGGCCAAAAGCTTAGGGATTTCCTCGGGCTTCGGGTCGCCAAAGACTTCGAGGATGGGCTCCAAGTCGTCGGACTTGTTGAAAGTCTCGGCGATCTTGTCGCTTTCCCCGGCTTCCTCGTCAGAATCAGGGATAATGGACGCGTTTCTGAACATGGGAGGAAGATTGCTGCCGTCTTCGTCCGTTTCCGCTGGAGATGGCCTCTTGAGAAGTTCTGCGTCCGGCTCGATAGTTTCCTCGGGCTCGGGAGACAGTGGAGATTCCATCTCGTCGATTTCTCTGGCTAACGGAAGTGGCTTCGCTAATGGTAGTACGTTATGCCCGTCTCTCAATGAATTTTCTAGACCTCGCATCTCTTCCCGCTCTACGGGAATTCTGTAGTCTACCGATCCTTCGTTAGTCATTGAGTTTGAAATATCATTCTCGCATAATAGTTGGTCGAGTTTATTTGTCTGCTCAACGTTTGTCACCTGCGAGCTATCCGCGGTCTCGCTTTTTTGGGTAAACGTCTGCAAATCCTCTAAAAGATTCATGGTGTCGTTCTTTTCGTTCTCGTCTGTGATTGGGCAGATAATATCTTTATTTACAGATTCGCTCAGAGATTCTTTTCCCATGTATTCCTTATTTACAGATTGCATGATGCTCTCTTTGAAGAGCGGTACTGTGATTTCGATTTGATTCTCGTTCTTTTGCAATTGCTGCTGGAGATTACTGAAATCCTTCATGCCACTGGACACATGGCTATTAACAGTGCTGCTCCCCATACTTTGAGATCTAATGTCAACGACCAAGTTATCACGAGATTGAAGCGATTCTTCGATGCTTTTAACGACGGAGACATTAGATATCTCTATTGAGTCTATCACGAGTTTTTGCTGCTCACTTTTTTCCACATTTTCACTATCTACACTTTCTTTTTCACTTTCCACTGTAAAGCTCTCTTCCATCACTTTTGTATCATTAAGTTCCTTCAAAATATCTTCAATTTTTTCACTTTCACTCGTTTTACACACTTCACTAACACTTTCCACTTTTTCATTTTCCATCATCTTGCGTATCATTTCTATTTCTGCTGATTCAACTTTGCGCAGTTCTTGCTCTGCTTTAAGCCTTTCTGCTTCTTCCTGCTTTTTCTTACGCAACTTTTCTTCTTCAGCCTTGCATTTTTCTTGCTCTATCCTGAGCCTTTCTTCCTCTGCTTCACTTCTTTGATTCTCTATTCGGTATCTCTTTTCTTCTTCCAGACTACGTTTTTCTACCTGAGCTCTGTACCAAGTTTCTTCTTCCCTCTTGCGCTCTTCTGCAGCAACTCTACATCTTTCTTCTTCTTCTGTGGCTTCATACATTTCTTCACGAGTAATGTCCACGAAAAATTGCATTAATTCTTCTAAATTGTCCAAGTCGGGCTCTTTAGCATCCATATTTGAGGCCTCGCAGATTTGCGACATTTTAGTTGATATCAAATCAAAAGATTTAGTGGTTACACTGTCTTCGGCAATGTCCATGGCTTCATCGACTTTGTCTGTGATTGGAATTGGAATCTTGCTGATGCCGAGGTACTTGTTGATTTCCTCGTCAGGCACAGTATCAGGCAAACCGTCACTCGTGAACAATGCGGTCATGTTAGACATCACGTTATCCACAAATTCCATGGGTCTTTCAATCACTTTGGTTTCAATGCGTGAGGTGTCAATAGGAACGAATGATTCTTTACTCGACACGACATCCATGCTCTCAAATGCATTACTCAAGTTCAGCTGAGCACTACTCAACACATCATTCTTTGATTTTTCCTTAAGCATCATGTCTGCTTCGCTTACTTCTACCTTTTTCGAGGTTTCTTTGTCTTCGGATTTTTCGCCCACCTCGGCGACCTTGCTCCTTGGTGACTTCAACTTAAGCTCCTTGCTGCCCTCAGACTTGATATTTTTAAACTTATTGCAGGCTTCACAAACCTTTTTCTTCTTTTTTGATTTGTCCGACTTCAAGTCACCATGGTTTTCCATGCACTTGGTTGGACTTCCTTTTTCCGTGTCAGGAACAACGGTAGGTGCTTTAGCAGCTTCTTCAGTCTTTTTCTTATTTTCCTTTTCCATTAGTTCAGCTTGAGCCATCTTCTCTTTCATCCTCTCGTGAAGGCTCGTGCGCTTCAACTTGATAGCGGGTCTGCTATTTTTGGCGGGTTCAATTTTGTTCTTGTCAGTTTTAACTTCCGCATTGTTCGCCGTGGTCTGTGCTGCTGGCTTCGTGGCTAAAGCTGCGGGACTGGACTCACGTTTGTTAGCCGGGATGTTTAAGAGATTTTGCGTTAGCGAAGCAGGGTTACTTTCTATTTGCTTTGCCTTTTCCTGCTCTCTTTTTTGACGTTCGAGTAGCCTTTGTTTGTAAGCTTTAATGTCCAATTTCTTTGGCTTGCTGGGATCGACAGGTTCTGACTTTCCTGATTCGGTAGTTTTCTTCACAACTTTGAGAGATTTAACGGGGCTTTTATCCTGGGGTTTGACGGTGGTTTTCTCCAGAGATTTTATTTTTGGCTCAACAGCCGCAATTTTGTCGAGTTCCAAGGCGCCTGATATCAAATTCTCTGCAACAGCTTGCTTGATGCTCTGAGCGACGTCCACGTCAGGCTTTTTAGGATCTTCTTTTTTGGCTACGTTACTAGTTTTTTCAACAGTCATCTTAGATTCAACAGGTGCCTTTGTCGCAGCAGTCTCTTTCGCAACAGCTGGTGCTGCAACTGCAGCCTTAGGTACTACCGTCGCCTTTGCGGCAACGTTTGTCTTCGCCACTGTTGTCGTCGTGGTAGCTGCAGTTTTTACGGAAGAAATAGCTTTTGCTGCTGAAGTTGTTGCTGCGGTTGTCGTAACCGGGACAGACTTTGCTACCAGAGCTGTGGCTGCAGTTGTCGTGGTCGAAATGACTTTAGGTATTGAAGTCGTTGCTGAAGTTGTAACCATAACAACTTTCACTGCCGAAGCTGTTGTTGCAGTCGCCATTGACGTAACAGCAGTTTTTGTTGCCGTTGTAGCTGTTGTTACGGTAGTTGTTGTCGTTACTAATGTAGCGGTTTTTGAAATAACTGCTGTGGTTGCTGGTTTTTTAACATGAGCTGCTGCCGAAGCGGCAGCTACAGCGGTATTTGCAGCGGCTGCCTTGGCAACTGCAGCTTGGTTGACGACTGTTTTCGTGATGGATTGTATACCAACTTGTGCTGGTTTGGTCGCAGTTTTAGCTACAACTTTTAGCACAGACGGAGGAACAGCTTTCGTAGCTGTAGCACCAGCGATCGCTGCCGGTGCTACAACAGCCTTGGCCTTGGTCTCTGCAGCGATCTTCTTGAAGATCGTTTTGTCAGAGATATCGTGATGGATCACTTTGTCGGAAAATGTGACTTTTCGAGTTACGTGATAGTCATTCTCCTGCACAAGCTTCTTTTGGCTTCGAGATTTCAGTGGGTAAGGCTTGGCAGAGCCATCGTTGCGCTTGGAAGGCGGATTTTTAAAAAGAATGGTTCGTCCACCGACTGCTGCAAGAGTGGCTGCAAGGGTAGCTGCCTCAGGCTCTTCTTTGATTATCTCTTTCTTGATCTCATCTTCCGAGAGCAGATTCGTTGTCAAATCATCGTCAGAATCATCATCGTCCGAGTCATCGTCGGAGTCGCTGACATTTACCCTCGAGCGCTTCTTGTGCTTCTTGTTGCGGGTACGTTTTTTACGCTCCTTCTTATCCTTTTTCCTTCTCGAGCGCTTCTTCGATTTGCGTTCTTTGTACTTTTGTTTCTCACGCCACCTTCGCTCAATTTCGGCCGTTACTTCATCCCTAATGGTCTCATTGATAGATCTCTTTTTGGCAATTTTTTCTCGCTCCTTAATGACCTTCAGCAACTGGGTAACATCAGATGGAGTTTCGTCATCCGATTCGCTTGACGACGAGGACGACGTGTCATCTTCGCTATTGGAGATTTGTTCTCGAACCGCCGTCTGACTGGCCGCGGCGGCTTCTTCATTGTTGAGATTAAGCGCTTGTATTTTGTTGAACTCCGAAACCGTAACCTCGAGTTCTCGCTCAAACGCGCCTCGGTCTATCGTCTTGCCATACTTTGCGTCCCACTCCTCCTTTGTCAAATTTCTGTAGGCATCTATGTGTTCGCGTTCTTTCCTCATCCATCGTTCTACCACATCAACGTCCGAAGCTCTAATCCTTCCGGCATCTGACACAGTCGCGGCAGAGGACGCCTTAGCCCTGGCCATGCCGGCCGAAAAGATATCGTCAAGATTAAAGGCCGTGCGGTTCTCGTCAGGCTGAGGTTGACTCTTATTATTACGATCGATACGATGAGCCAATCTAGCAGCTACACCACTCGTCGGCGGTTGGGGAGAGGGTAGCTTCGCTGCCTGTCTCACCTTGGCAATACCAGCCGAGAAGATGTCGTCGATGTCAGCCATATTGACAACGGGAGCGGTCTCGTTTGTACTGTTAATCGGCCTTGAATGTTCACGCAAGATGAAATCTGTCGTTGACGTGTACGTGGTGTAATCATCGTCGATCTGTGTGGCCGTGGAAATGGTTCGAGCAGCACGATTGGTTGCGAGCACCCGCTCGGCTGCGAGCTGCTGCTGCAACTTTGCCTGTTGCTGCAGTTCTTTGATTTTTTTGTGATCGTCGCGAATAATTTTAACGCGTACTTTTTGTTTTTCCTTATGATGAGCTAACTCTACTGGTTTGAACTCCTTTTTGCGTCGCTCGTGAAGCAGATGCTTGTCGATTTTTTGCATCATTGCATCGTCCTGCAATAACAAACATTAGTAATTATATGAATTGAAAAATCATAGTATATGCTTATGGCATAAGTATTCGTGTCTCGATTCTACGATTTTCATGGTACATCAGATGCTAAATTATTAGGTTATAGATATTTACAGCGCGACATGCCGTGTCATTAATTTATACATCATCCATTATGTTTAATTCGCTTTATCTTATTCAACACAATAACATTCATAAATATTGGTATATTTAAAAAAATTTTGTTCTATAATTGCTTTTAAAAAATAATATTTTAATTTACTTATTTAAGAGGCAGTGGAGGCTTGTTTTACCACAACTAATTGTTCCATACTCATTATTCTGCTTTTCAAGTGACAAAGCCGTGTTTATTGGGTAGTATTTCAACAAAGTAAATTAATAGAAATTTACCCTTAAAATTTCAGATGAATTAGTTACTTATGAGCGAAAATTGTTAAAAACATCAAATATCGGTCAAACAGCTTCTATAACCTCTTATTAAAGTTGTATGTCACGTACATTAGGTTCAACACTATCTTTCTAGCGATCACCTTTTATGGATGAAGGTTAGTTTAAAACTTTAATATGAAAGTACGCTAAGTATCACGTGCTAAAACATAATTAATAAAATAACTAATGAAAACACATGCGTACCTCTTCTTGTAGAGCCGATGCAATTCGTGAATCGAGCGAATTGTATTCGTGAGCCAAAGGATCAGTAAGGCTCATTGGGTCCGAAGAAGCATTGGGTATGGCAGACACAGGATTGGTTTCCAAATTCAACATTACATCATTCAACTGCTGTATAAAATCGGTGGGCAAATCGTCAATGTCGAACGTCGCATTTGGATCTAACATAGCATTGACCTGCTTGATAAACTCATCTTGGGAATGTTCCTTGAGCTTTCCGTCCTCATTCATAAGTATTTCCTGGTTAATGGAGCTCTTTTGCTCCTTAACTAGACGGTCCATGACAAAGTCATGCTTTCTACGGCTCGTACGATCTATCATGTTACGTATTTCGTTTCCGCTCATTTTGAGGAACTTGTTTATCACTTTGTTTTTCCACGTCGCCTCATCACCCTCTTTTTTCACTGGTTTTTTGTCCTTGGCCTTTCGAGTCATTGTTGCAACACCAACTTCTGTAACTGGCAGCTGGACACTTGGAATTGTTCCTAGTATAGGAACTGTAGTAGCTGCAGCAAGCGGCATCGTTGATGCGGCAACCAAAGGTACCGTACTTGCACTCAAAGGGGCCAGGGGCAGCGCTGTAGACGTCGCCACGGTATTGAGTAGCTGGGTATGCCTCAACAGATCTTCCGTGGTTTTCTTGTCCATGAGTATCTGCTGAGATAGCTTTAATATATCCATTCCAGAGGGAACTATCTGAGCTGTTTGACTCAAAGTTGTCGAAGCAACAATCGGTGCTGCAGTGGACGTAATAGTACTCGCGACTGTCGGATCATCGGACACTGGCACCGAAAGCTGCTGCGTGCTCGGATTCGAGTCGGTCGAGTGTAGCAACGGAGGCGAAATAGGCTTGGGCACACTTGAAATCAAGGTCGCCGCAGTAACGAGAGGCGTACTCGTAGCTGCTGCTGCTGCAGCTATCAGTGGAGGGACGATTGGTGCAACAATCGGAACTCCGATCGGAGCGGCTACTGGAGCGACCGGCGAAACGGATACTGGTGTAGGAGCGGCGACTGGGACAACCACTGGAGCGGCCACAGGTGACATTTCAGGCTCTTCCAATTTCGACGCTACTGGCTCGTCATTCATACTCATGAGCTGTTTGGCAAATTCCATAGCCTCTTGCATCTCCTCTAGACCATCCTCGTCGAAGCTAAGCGAGGCTGCAGCTGTAGATACAAGAGACGTACTTGTACTGCTGCTGGTACTCGTGAGACCGACAAAAGGCGGTGGTAGTATCGGTTCTGGGTTTGGTATCGGAGGTACCGGCATAGGCGCTGGGGCAACCGAGACGGGCATCGGCACAGTCGGATAGTTCATGGGCGTCATGAAAGCCGGGAAGGTGGGTGGCATCATGACCGGTGGTGGAGGAATTTGCACCTTTGGCGGTTCCCGCGAAGTTGCACCAGCCAGCAACAATGTCGAACGCTCAGTCATAGAAAGCCGAGGATCGAATATTGGCGGTGGTTGCCGGACCTCCTCTTTTTTCTCGGACACGCTGCTAATGATTGGTTTACGTGGGTCGAAGGCCCGCGGTAGCTGCAATAATTCACCCTTGGACTTGCTACTGTCGCTGTCAGCTTTTTTGGATATAGTCGGTGGTGGTTTACTAAAGTCCAAATCTGCTGGCAGTTCTGAAAAAAAATTCACTATCAATTATAATAGCATAATCAAGAATAATTAAAAAACATCACTTTAATCCAATTAACTTTTCTGCTATTGGTCGTAAAATAAAACATAATAAATAAAATTGAAAAAAAATGAATCGCGTAATAATTGTGGAAAAAAATCATTTATTGTTATTTTATATGCTTTAAGTCATTAATTATTTTAGTATGTCAAAAAGATTGACATAACTTTACTTCCACTAGAATTTTTCACGAGAAAATCCATGAAACTTAATATTATTCGTGAACTAGTCAATAATTAGTTAATATTACATAAGTTTCAATCTAACTACGAGTTGCAATATGTGTGTACAACTTTTGTAACAAAGTGCAATGAGCAATATCGTTTAATTTAAATTTACACAAAATACAAAACAAATAAGTTTTATTAGTTAAAAAAAAAATATTGTTTCACATAACATGCGACAAAATTCATTAGCTACCTTTTAAAGCTATTAACAATGCCTTTATTTGAATAAGTTCTGTATTGCAAGATATTACATCTTTTCTGGTTGATTTTTTATTACAAAAGTTTTTAACCGTTCATGCTGTTTAAAAAAGTTACAACCGTTTTTTTTCTTTTTTACAATTAAATCTGTAAATAATATAATTTTAATTACTCCCTATGGATCCTACTTTTAGTGGTGTACAAGTATACTTTATTTTTAATTCAAATTTTATTATTATTATTATTATTATTGTTGTTGTTATAAAAGCGTCATCAAGCATACCTTTCCCGTCAAAGGCTCCAGTCCAGGGAGATGTAAGACTTGGTGTATAGCCAAGACTTGTTTTGAATTTAGTAGAACTTGTAAAGTCACCCTTGGGTGGAGGGCACATGGCAACAACGGGCTCTGCCGTGGTCGTTGTGGCTGATTTTGACTTAGTACTCGTCGCCTCAAAGAAGGGAACCGTAATCTCGGAACCAGGCTCCTCTGCTTTGGATGACGACCTTGAGTCTTCATCATGATCTTTTTTAGATTTGTCACTCATCGAATCACAGTTATTTTGTTCATCCAGGGAATCGCTCTGGGACTGTTCATCGAGCATTTGCATGACATTATCAAAATCGATGGGCTCCTCGAGCGGCGTCACTAACTTTTGCTGTTGCTGCTCTTGTTGAAGTTCTGCTGATGACTCGGTGCATTTAGGCTCGTCATCAACGGGGTGGTCTTCAATGTGCTCATTACTGCCGTGATCAGTACTTGGTAGAGTTTGTAACAATCCGTAATCGTCCATTTCTATGTCGCCAATGCTGTCCACGACAAAGTGTTCTTCATCAAATTGCTCCTTTGCAGACAAAGAAAACTCATTGAAATCAACTTTACTGCTCGATTCAGACTCAACAGCCTTACGTCCAACATCCTTAGAGTCTTGCAGAGTAGAGGTTGAGTCGGTAGAATCTTGCTTTGTATCAGGAACAGTTGAGCTAGCGAGATCTTCTTGGGAGGAAGCTAATTTGCTGGGTGTATCGTCTACAGTTGAACTCACTCTGAGATCTTGCTCCCAAATGGTGACTTTTTCCTTTTCAGTGATGCTGGACAATGACTTTTTAAGTTTGGCAGCAGTTTCGGTTATCTTTTGTTGCCTCTCTTCCTCTGATCCCAGCAGAGGCTCGGACGGCTTCTCCGAAGGAACAGGGGAGTTACTTCTGCTGCTGTAGGGACTACTGTAGGGACTTGAACGCTTGCTGGAATAGGGGTAAGGCCTTCCAGGGCCAGGATAACGCATGTTGGAGCCCCTCGGCTGACCCCGGTCTCTGTAATTCTGATAGGGCCTATCATTTCTGTTCTGCCTGTCGTATCTGTCACGATCCCTATCTCGGTCCCTGTCCCTATCTCTATCTCTGTCCCTGTCATACCTGTCAGACCTGTCCAAGGAGCGATCGGACGAACGATCGTTAGAGGACGTGCGGTCCCACTCTGTCTGAGGCGGGCCCGTCCTGTCCCACTCGGATTGAAATGGCTGGGGCCTCTGATGCTTCTGGTAAGGGGCGTTCTGGGGCCGGCCCCGCCATTGCTGGTAGGACCGGTTACCAGTGTCTCTACCCTGCCAGTTGTCAGACTGCCGACCACCACCACCTCCGCTGCCACCACGGTTACGGTTTTGTTGCTGCTGCTGGCCGGGTGGGTAGCGGTTACCACCGCCAAATCCATTGGCGTTTGTGCGTTGCCCAAAGCCTCGGCCACGAAAGCCGCCGCTACCACCGCCACCGCTACTCATCACAGCACCTAATTAGCACTAGCACCTGGCTATGCTTAGGTCCAACTTCACCACTCTCTTCTTTTTTTTTTTTTTTTTTTTTTTTTCTCCTCTAGTGCCTCCACTTTCCTCTTGCCAAGCTTGCACCCCGGGCGGCAGTACACCAAACCTGGGCTGCTTCTCACCCTGTGCTAGGGAAGAGAGGGTGTCGCTTACGGCATGCCTAGGCTGGCCTGTGTGTATCGGAGACTTTCTAGAATGCAGACTCATCCATCAGAGGCAGCCCACGGGCCTGGGCCCTGGCATCCTTAGCTCGGTACAGCCAACCACACGAACTGTAAGCAAAACAAAACAAACAAACCAATTTAAAGTATAACACGTACGGCGGTACACTTGCTCTGATTTCGTATATTATAACTTGGTACCTATCAGAGAAAAAAAAACAATAAGTATTTATGGGAGCGAGCGTGAGACGTGACCACGTAATCGAGGCACGCCAACGAACGTCTGTTATACGTTGGGAACGCGAACTCTCATCGATGTCTACCTCCAGGGTACAGTAGAGGCATGTATTTGCAAGTACATCGTAAGTACACACGCTTATTGTATGTTAAAGTGGTAGACGCGCAAGTGTATTTTTAGACGTCAGTGTGTAAGGGTGCCTATATACTGAAAGTACCCCTTTAAATGTTTGACGATCCGGGCGGTGTATACTGTATGCATAAAACGACCAAAGGTACAACTATACTTACAATGTGTTAATGTGTGTGTGGGTACGGGAGCAACAGCATTACAGCAGCAAAGCAAGCAGCCCAGCAGCAAATTTCTGCAGTGCAGGGGCGCGTGGATGACCAAGACAAAAAAAGAATGTAAGCTCTGAGGATGTATAGAAAAAGAGCTGGTGGTATGATGAAACAAGGGGGAAAAACGAGGGGCGGAAAACCGTCTCGCGCTTCATACGCAATATATAATATACTTATCGTACACGTTAAGCTATTCATGACACGAAATGACTCACTTTTTGTAGAACGCAGCACTTCCTGAAGATGATGATGAAAAAAAGATTACTTTCACTCCGGTGCACAACTAATAGTTCCTTGCCAGCAAAGTTGCGGGACGAGAGGAGTGTAGTGTTAATATGATGCACACTATACAGCGCTCCTAACCTCAAAGGTAGTTTTGTATTTTCACACACAACACGCCACTGCGTCCTTGTCCACCACCACCTAGGGGTGCTCTCTCTCTCTCTCTCTCTCTCTCTTTGCTCTGCGGCGCTGCTGCTTGGAGTTTTTTGGAGTATGTACTCTGTGACCCTGTAGATGCTGCGCACGCGTGCACAGATGTAATAAGTACTCTTGGCTCGACTCCTCTCCCTGGATACCTTGCTGGGAAACACACAGTCACACACTACTTGTTCTCTTTGACTTTTTACGCAACAATCCCTTGGTTTGTACCCGGGATTGTTGTTTATTGTTTTTAGAAATTCAAGTCCAACGTGAATGAGTAACTTTTTGTGTAAGTACACCGAACAATCGATACACCGGGATTACCGGGAATTACTTCACTAGTTCACTTGTACCTACGAGTCTCGCCTCGTGTTATCTCGTGTGTCTAGTGTCGCGGTAGCGGTTGCGACGAAGATGAAATTGCTGCTCCGAAAAAGCAGTGGCCGCACAGCACCGCCGAGACGCAGAGAGAAATATATTGCGGTCCTTACTATATGCTCTTTCTCTTTTGCTCTCGAAAGGGACGAAATTCAGAATCCTTTGAGACAGAAGTACCCTATATTATGTACTTATGTAAAAAGTTGTCCTCCCCCTGATCAGTTTTTCCGTTTGCAAGAGAGAGTAGGCATAAAAGAGTGGAAGCTCTGGTTATATGTATTATATGCTCGAACGCAAAAACGAAAATGCGTATACATACTTTGACTCTTTTAGCCTCGCCGCAGTATATACTTACTATATTTTCAAGCCAAAAAGAGTAGAAAAAAAAGTATTTTCTTTTTTTTTTTTTTTCTTTTTTTCTTTTTTGAGAATATTCATGCACACTGCATGAAAAATAAAAATAAACAAGCAATGTTGTTCTTTCTCTTTTTTTTTCTCAACCCAAGATAATTATTGTATGCACTCTCACTCTCCAAGAGATATGCTTCAAAGTACAATAATAACTCATGTAGGTACAAGTCACGTTAAGACATTAACGGTATGTGCTATCCGGGGGCATCGATTTTTACAGACCATGTTCTTTTTTCTCTCCATGTCTTCATGCTTCTCTCCCGTACTCACATCATTCGTACTTTTGATGATAGGTGTGTACTTGCATTATAATGTACTATTGCTCTGTATAATTTATCTCTCATCGTTGCATTTTTAAGTGCATGCATTTTTATAATTGCCCAAAAGCGGTGCAGGTGTCTCTTTTTCGGAACGGTCAAAATTCTAAATAAACTTTTCAGTTAACAATGGTATATTACTCCGAAAACATGTTTGAATAATATTTTACATATTACATACAGACATATTTAATTCCAATTAAATATATAATATTAATAATAAGCTATTATCGTTGATTAAAAAAAAAAAAGGGTTGGGGAAGATTATACTTCATAGCCGATTTTACATTTCTATGCAGCATAGGCGCACACGTGTTTAGGGGCGCTCATACTTACATATAAATATTTCCCAACATCCAAGATCGTCGACGCTTTTTTTTGTTTTTTACTCGCTGTCAGTTGTTGTAATGAATCCTTACATAAATTTATAACGTGCATACTTATAAACATATAAATATAGTATACATTTTCTTTGACGCCTCTATGGTAAATGAAATAAATGTATGCATAAAATCATGAGAAAAAAATTTGCCATCGTTTTTGTCCCTGTTCACATCATTTTTTGAATATTGGGTAGTTACACACATATATCTCCATGAAAAACGTGTTACAACACACGCACATGCAGGCGTTATGTTAAAATCGTTGCTCCAAAAATCAACGTCCCTCTCGAAGTCTCGACCGGTTATACATTAATACCCTTCAACGCACACACGTACGCAATACCTAAATCGCTCCGATTTTTCACCATTTCAGTGTATTATGTTACTTATATCAGCGTGCGTTATCCGTCCACTTTCCTATGGACACACCATGTGAAGCGAGCTCTGAAAATTATCGTTAGCGCATTACGTAAGGCCGTTCGTTCATCGCTCACAGTATATTATATAGGCGCATATAAGTATATCCACGTGCACGCACATGTAGCCGACCGGTTCTCATTCATGATCAGCTCATAACCGCTGCAGTTCGTTCGTATTATTATAGTCTATACATAAGTAATTATAAATCTTGCAAAGGCATTAAATAGTACATATATGGTGTAAGCTATAAAGGTATTGCGCGTAGGTCACGTATGCACTCTTCTACAAGCAATATTATGGTTTTTAGTGATTGTAAGCGAATAAGTCTCAACAATCGCGAGCCGGAGTCATACGATATTAGGAAAGTGCATCATCCTCACGTGGAGATAAAGAGAGAAAATATACATTTCTTGACTTGACATCTCGAGTTTCACGACCCCTATTGTCTGAACACACTCTGCTCTTGCAGCCATTCTCTCTCTCTCTCTCTCTCTCCTCTCTCTTCACCGCGCGGTCTGCACACACACGCACAAAGTGTTGGTGCTCATGTTGTACAACAAAAAAATACGCATAATGCGCTCTTTTATTTTAGAATATACCGGTCTTAGCACCTTATTAGCGCTCTCGCGCGTTATTATGATATACATTTTACAAGTATACGATGTAAATTGCAGCAGCACCGAAGCGGCCGGTATACTTGAGTTATTCATTAACGTCGCGCAACGTTGCGTTACAGACACACATTTTAAAAATTTTTCTCTTTTTTTTTTTTATCTTGCACTGTAAAAAAACGCGCGTATCTCTTTCTCCTTCTTTTACTTTCATTTTGAGCTTTTTTTTTTTTTTTTTTTCACTCGATGCGTTAGATGTTTTGCTTTCCCTTCCGTTATAGTATACATGCGGTAAGTACACACACGCGTACGTACATTATATATGTCACATAAATAAATTATGTGTGCGTGGGTGTCTGAGAACCGGTTAACCTTCACTTTTGGAACTTGAGTTACCTTTTATCGTTGCCTGTGAGTATGGCGTGCGGTTCTCGTAGCTTTTAGTGTTTACACATGCAAGGCACTTCCGGAGCCTCTGCGTACGTAGATTATGCCTATACTTACAACATATTATACATTATATTCCTGTATATTTCACGTATGTCGCAACAAGATCCCTTACTCGCGATAAGTGTCAACGCGTGCGGTGTGTTGTTGTATATGCATATATGCGAGACTTTTTTTTATCAATATACGCACAGATTGATACACTCTCACGTGCTGGTGTTTCATTATAATCAATGAATAAATTAAATTTCACAATCGACGCATTTGTGTCATCTCTCGTTCGTAATAACCGTACGTAGAATAAGCTTTTACTCAGGCGCGCATGATATAAGTAGTGTATAATTATGTTTTTGATATGTGACATGCACACCTGCGAAAGTTCAAAAACTCGCGCCAAAACGTGCAACGAACACTTCTTCGCAGCGGTTTCGCATAAAAACGAATAGCACGACAGCTGTACTCTAGAGTATATAGGGATACGGAGTTGCAGTTGTCGAATTTGGAATACAAACACGGGGCTTTTATATACACTTAAGTTTAAAATGAGTAAGGAAAAAAATAAAAACAACTTAGGTTTTCAGAAATACTTCATATGTAAATATTATAAGTGCGTGCCTGCACGAAGATGAACCTAACACGTTCGTCTCAGGGCGCCAAAAACTCATGTTTTTTTTTTTCTTTTTTTTTTATCTTTTTCTCATCGCCCCTCTTATTTCTCTCACACACATGAATTTACACCGCTGCAGCTGCAGTGAGCGTGTACAATGTCACACACTTGGATTCGTATGCATAGCGTATGTTACATCTTTTTCATACAATTTATATGTATTCCCTTAAAAAGAGGAAGAAACTCATAAATTCAACTATGATAATGTTCTATACTTATTTATCGAAATTGATTTTTTTACTTCGCAATTTTTTTTATTTTTCTTCATCCCATCATTCGAAAATTATTGTCACACATAAAACATGATATATTACGTAATGCGATCGCTTTTACATGCGATACTCGTACTTTGTGTGCGGACGTAAATTTTTTTTTACAATTAAAATCATGTTGAAGCTTGACACAAAGGGGCTCCGTTAAGTACTTCTTTGTTCCCTTTTTTGCTGATATCTTTTTAAAGTCGACATGTTATATACATATAGACATTTGTGTAACAATTAGAGATGTTAAGCTGAACGTTCCATTGCTTTGTTGTGTAGGTAATTAATGATAACTAATCCATACAGTAATGTGCAGTATTTGAGTAAAGAAATCCAGAGCTTATTTATTATCATGATAATTATTATTGTTATTATCATTAAGTGCATTATGTATTGTTTGGTTACATTGTATTTGTTTGCGATTCTCGAATAATTTTAATGCAATATTCATTTTTGTTTCGTTAGAGATACAATACCTTAGAATTTTAGAAATTTAATTCATTTTTTAACAATTTGTAGATTGAAAAAGTTGTTGCAATTCCAATGACATGAAATTTGTATATTCTGCTAAAATTTGTTCACAAAAAATATTATTATTTTCACGCGTATAAAAAGCAACAACGAATTGTGCAATCCGTGCCCTCAACTGATCTCGCAACTGATTAACAAAAATTTTTTAGAATTTAAAATAAAATATTTTGTATTTACGTTCAATTTATAAAGTTTTTCTTGTATCATAAATTTGAAATATCGATCGAATTAATGCGCGGGAAACACTCATCAGCTGATGTATGCAGCCAGTATAGCTATATGTAGAGATCCGTTAACGAAAAAAAACTTCTCCCCTTTAGCGATTGAGTAACATCCCTCAGACCCCTCATATAGGTACCATGGCATCCCCCGTTCAACGACCCCCAAAGGCTTTTTAAAAAAGCTGACATTTAATGTGACGATGATAAATGAAGAACGAAGCGCCATCTTCATTTCTACTTTTTAAAGCTGAACTAATTAAATTTTTCTGTTTTACCGTCTGACGGTGAGTTCATTCTGCTCTTTATCCTTTTGTAAACCGCCAAATTCAAATTCTTAAAAGTGTGTATCCCGTTTAAAGACGAGTAACAGCCATAACCACAAAATAAAAATACAAAAACGTCTATCACATTAACCACCACTTCTGAACAAAGTTACGATTGTTTATTGTGTGATTATGATTATCATCTTTTGGTGAAACAATTTAATAGTTTAAATTTCGCGGTTCATGAGCCACACGCATCTACAGCACGTATATGTGTGTGTGTGTACGTTTAAAGAGTTGTTTTTAACTATACACTTATTAATGAGTTAAAAATAGGACTTTCTTCATTTTTATCCTGAAAACACACGCTGAAGTACATAAAGTGTAGGAGTCAACAGAATATTGGGTATACAATTTAAAGTTTTTGTTGTTCAGGAGCATCAACGGAGCAGAGAAGCAGCTGATTACCGTAACCAAAACGAGAACACCATCGGGTGCGTATTTAATAAAAATAATAAAAACTGTAAGTAGGTAGGTAGGTAGGTAGGTAGGTACAGTGTGTGTTCATCATTGAGATTAGAGATACGCTGTCAGCGCTTTAAATACAAAGACACACGTCACCCACGCACCAGAGTCCAGTGTGTAAACTGCTAAATAACCTGTACACTTGCGAGAGGGTTGAAACATATATTTCACATCAATCTTTATATTATCTGCTCGAGACTGCGCGCGCGTGGCCGGGCCGGGGGATCGGGGATAAAGGTGAAACACTTCCGTGTATGTAGGTACGAGAAAGGGAGAAAGTAGGTATGGTCTGCAGGTGCACACGTATGGTAATGTTATACGCAGCAATATCCTTACCAATCTTAAAAAAACAGTCACGGGGGCACACTTTCGTACAAATACTTACTGCACTCGTCGCTCCGAGTATACCTTAAAGTATGACATTCGTCTCGATGGGTATCCGTAGTGGACTCGCGTGTAACTCCTGATGCGCAGCTCCTCTTTCTTCTGTCAACCTGACAACGATACAACAACGGGAAAAAGCCGTCCTCGTCGACAGTATACTTACCGCCCACCGCCTAGTATAACGCGTGTGTGTTATTTGCAGCAGTGCAGTGCCTCGATCGAGCGCGCGCCGAGTAACAGTTTATTTTATTGTTGTTAAGCGCGTCGTCTGGTCGACAGTTGCGTCGTCGTCGTGTCACTGCCGCTGCCTATATATATACACGCATGCCTGGCTCGCGCTAAAGTTTGCATTTGTTCATTTGCTACAACTGACAGTACACAGTTAACAGTGTTGTTCTTGTTGTTGTTGTTGTTTCGTGCAAAGAAATTCATGGATACGCCTGTATACTTTGTAAAAAAGACGAGGTGAGTCTAACGGTTGTTGTGAGGGAGTAAGAGAGTGTGTGTAAGATGGGCCGCACCTGCACCTCCTGCAGAGGAGAAGGAGGCCTCGGAAAGTAGGTTGTGCGTTGTCCTTCTGTCTATTTTCTTCGGGTATACCTTATCAGTTATTAATACGAAAGTTGTGTTGTTGCTGTGTACTTATCTTGTGTACTTTAAAAGTACATGTCTCATAAAAATGTTTACTTCGAATGTTGACATTGATGCATAAAGTGCACAATGTACTTTGATGCATATTAGGTTGCATGTATAATAATGTCTCAAGTATGGGTTGAAAAAAAAAAAAAAAAACATGCCTACCCTTGCGGTGGGCGGGAAAAAGATGGTCGACTCCGGCGGTAGCCCTCGCGGAGCACTGTTGCAGCTAATCTATCGATTTTCCCTCGGCTATTTCTCTCTCGCTCACCGCTATGTACTTACCCATGTATGTAGGTATACTTGCATTCTCTTTCCTCCGCCTTGTAGGTAAATACACTTACTCTTGCACGACTCACCTTACAGTTGCTTGCATATACATGCATGTATTTTTTTTTTTTTTTTCTGCTCCGAAACATCAAATGGAGCAGAAGGAGAAAGTCACAGTGCAGTGTGCTCCAACGCTTTTCTTTGCGAGAGAGAAAAAAAAAGGGTGATGCTTGCAGTTGAGTGACGTCGTGTGTGCAGGTGGCTGTCAGAGTATACAGTACTTATACCCATAGTGGAAGAGCCGAGAGAGTACATATACGTGATAGAGATGGATTAAAGGTGGCGAGGGAGGAAGAAACAGCAAGCCGAGGGCAAGGCTGCGGTCATATAGTACTTAAGAACCTTTATTGCTTCCTAAAGTGTGTATAATTTTTTTCAAGATTTTATTGATCGCCGGTATAAGTACCTACTTAAACTTACACGCTCTCTCCCTCGTTGGTTTTTCTTTTTCAAGCGCGTGCTTGAAACGAATCGTTAAACATAAAGTATAGACTGTTTCCGGGCGCAGAAGATTTCTTCAGCTTTTATCGTTGCAAGCTGCCACAGTTCTTTGTTCGCTGTTGTCCGAGCAATAAATTTTCGGTTCAAATTTTATCAGCTATGTGTATGAACTGTACGTTGTTGGTTGAGCATTCAACCACTTGATAACCGCGTGTGCAATACGCGAAGATTATCGTTTATGTCTCCTTCATTTGGTTGATTTGAAAAATAACAAGTTTAGTATGAGCTTCGTTAAAAGAAAAAAAAAAAAAAAAAAAAAAAAAAAAAAAAAAAAAAGGGTGAAAGCTAATTAATCGGGTTAAAGGATACCGGTGAGTCGATACCTTAATGAGAAGCTAATTTCACGACCAACTAAATTCAGAAGTGACGCGCTGACGCATCGTTGATTAAAACTTTATATCTCAATGTTCAAGCCTGTACATATATTCTGAACGTAACTTTTTATTTTAATATTGAGAATAACAACATTTTATCGTGAAATTAATGGAAAGTAATTTAACATTTTAAATGTATTTCTTTCTATTGTGATCAACAAGGAGTACATGTATGCTTCATATTCTTCATTTGCACTTAAAAATCCTATTTCACCAAGTACTTATCCCGAAAAACTACAATTTTTAATAATAAAATAAAACAAAATTATGATAGTGGGATGAAATTAAAAAATGAACTTTTGGGCATAAGTATCCAGCTAAATAAACTTTTGTAGTATTTATACACAAAAAAGTTCTGCTTGAAAAATGAATAAAGATTATGTTAATCACATATTTCTTCGTGACTCAGAAGATATACTATACTGATGATTTAGAAATAAAAAAAAAAAACGTGAGATCATATTTATTAGGTTGCAAACACTCATAGTGAAGTAATCTAGAATACCTATGACTCAATAAATTTTTAATAATACTTTTAATATTCAATGCGAAAAATGCTTACCTCGTCTATTATCTGCTTATCAGGTTTCTTCTTGTTTTAATGAACCATGAGTTTCACGACTTTTCTATTTTACCCTTGCAGACAGACATAATGGCAAATAGGTTGAATTGGACTTGAATCTGTCTTTTCGGTCAGCGAATATGAAGTTGTATAGCCAATGTCAATGGGTCTCGCGTGCGACGGTACAGTGAATTATACTCTGAAAATTCATCTCCAGGGTGCACCTATACGTTGTACCGTGAGATGGTACGCGATAAGATTTTTGGAAGAGTTGAAGATTGAGGTGTTGTAAGATTTTTAACTTTATAATGTGCAAAATTGGAAAACTGCTGATTTAAAAAGATTTAGTTTAGTTAAGACAATGTTTCATTTTTATTTTTTTTAGGGGGCAAGTTTATGAGTATAAATAGCAATTTAGGGAGTTAACTGTATACATAAAAAAACATATACTTTAATTTTTTTTTTTTTTTTCAAATCCTGTGTCTAAATAATTATATGACACTTATTTTTCATTCCATAAAATAGTCGTCATCTACTTTACGCACCTGTTATTTACAAAACGATTAAGCTGATCAATGAAAAGTTTTTTTAAATTTCTTTCCTGAAATCGTGTCTATTTGCTTAACGACGTAATTTCTGCTCGTATGTAACTAGCATTGAGTCGTGATTTATTTTTATTACTGCATAAACGTTAGTGATTGACTCATCAGTACTATTCGAATTCCGATGTCGATTATTCATGGTTACTAAGAAATACAGTGGTATCTACAAAAACAACACGATTTTTAAGATAGATCAATGAGAAGCCCAGCAGATTTTATTTTATTTATTATTCCTAAAACAGGACAGCTCAGTTGTCTTTTTGAAGGCAAATTTTCAAGCAGAATAAAGATACGCGTATTTTTAAACCTTAGCTAATAATACACGTAAAATATTATGAATTTTCACGTTATGTTAATTATTTCCTAACTCCAACACTAAGGGTGGGTGTAAAAAAAATTTTTAACTGGAATGTTTGTCGAAAAATAGTATTGAATTTTTGAATAAGCTCTAATTATTATGTAATAAATAATATATCGGGTTAATATGCCATTGCATTTTATTTACACATCTCATAGAAATAAACTCATCACCCGTACACGTGTTTGGTGCTTTTATATAATGTATCAAAAAATGGTTGCAGTTGCAAGTTGAATAACAATAATAACCATATCGAGTAATCGATTTACTACGGGACTCGAAAACTTTTTTTTTTCTTAACTTGAATACTTTTAAACTATTTAATGTGTCAGAGGGTATCCATGAATTTGTTATGATGAAAAACACAGTGTTGTTTTAACGTACTCAGTCGCATGAATTATTTTTTGTAACTTTTTAGTGTCGATTGTCGCGTACACTCCGAGTTTAATCAATGTACTGGCGATATTTCACGTCGTGCAATCAAGTTTCCAGAAAGTTTTAAATAACAAAACGTGACAAAACAGTAAACAACACTCGGTGTTTGCCATATAGATAAATGCACTCGTCACCTATGTGACGTAATATTGTTATTTATGCTCTTAATGTTCATTTCATGCACGATGTCGACAGCAAAAAAAATTTAATTGAAAAGATAAAACTATTGATGGATCAATCGTTGTAAAAGAACAACAAAAATATAAGTATGAATTTCGAGTTAGTTTTCGTAAGAGCGATCTATGTAAGTATTGTTATTCATCTTCGTCACGCGTGTACTTAAAGTGCCCGTCACGCCCCGACGCAAGCACACCGAGATAATGAAATGCAAGTCGCATCCTTCAATTTTTGTCCCTTCCCCGATAAGAGCCCTGTTGGCCACGGACCATCAGCCACACGGCGATCGGAAAAGAAGTCCCCCTCATCCCCCCGAAGGTGGGGGAGGGGAAAAAAGGAGAGGCTCATGGACGCCCCTCGGCACCAATCACCCGCGCAAATTCAAATTCGGCTCTCGATCAATCTTGCGCGCTCGTCCTCTAACTCTTCCTCCTCTCCCTCTCTTCTACTGCCTCGTTCCAACAGGGCGCAAATTAATGGACACGTTCCGCGCCGCCTGGGAAGAATTATGGGCTCTCGTCCCCGCGCCTCTCCATTTCTTCCCGACTCTACGAAAAAAAAAAAAAAAAAAAAAGCAGCTGTCGATCTACAATGTGCTTCCACTCGTGAGGGTACACACCCGAGTTTTTTTCTTCTTCTCATTTTCCGAAATCCCAAATAATGATGCGTACACGCGCTTGGACTGGGAGGGGGTCGGACTTGCACACTCCTTCCGTTTTCATTTTACTCGGTCGAGTCCAATCGCGAGTGGGCGTCGAATTGATGCTGGGAGTCGATTTTTCTCCTCTTCCCCCTTCCCCCCTCGCATTTCGAGCAATTGGTCGGATCGATTTGCGATGGGAAGCACTTATTGGTGGAAGTTTATTAATCCCCGCAATCTCAGCAGTTGAATTCTGCTGAAGCGACTGAGGCCAATTGGTAAAAAAAATCATGGTTACCGTCAGCGTTGTTACAATTACTTGTTATTATATATAATAAAAGTGATTAATGTTTCCCATAGCTTGGAGCAAAATTTTCTTGTACTGGTGTTCATTTGACGCTACAGTTGATCTTGATCGATAGCAATTGATCACCAGGAAGTTCGCGAAATATATCCTTCTTGAATCGAGTCAGTCTGGCCCATGTTCTTGATAAATGCCTATGACAGTTCAATTCTTTAAATTACGTGCTTTTTTTCGGTGCCCAACTGAGTCTGGGTACGAAATCAAGAACTAAAAGTAAGTAGTATATAAAAAGCCATGAAGTTACATAAATTTTTTATTAATTTTTTTTTTACACAACATTGGTTTTAGCGATTGTAAAATTAAAGAACTACGAGTAATAATTAAAAGTATAAAATTAGTTGATGATCTGTAAGATATATCTTTCTGTTGTCCTCAAATAAATAAATAAATAAATAAATATCATTAGTATGCTGATTCCAAAAGCATCCCTAGTAATTTTGATAAGAAATTTCACTCGTATTCTACAAAAATTTGTTGTAACTGTTT